GTTAAGCTGCTGTTGCACTGCAATTTCCCTCACGGGATCAATAAAGTATCTATCTATCTATAATTAATAAACAGCAATATTAAAATCAGCAAACATCCTGATTAGTTTACAACTTTATAGAAATCCATGTGATATGCGAGCCTTTGAAAACCTTTAGTCATAATAACCACCAGCATGGATCACAGGCGTTCCATGGATTCTGGAGATGTTCCCCTACTGTAGTGTAACTAATCTGCATTGAGTCCTGTCATTTTTCATAACATCTGTCCTGTTTATCTCATTTTAACTCCGTGGATAACTGATTAAGATATATATTTGGAGGACATTCTGCAGTCTCTTGTTGTCTGGATATTTTTAAGTAATCGTGTTACTGTACAATGAAACCATTATTTGTAAGTGGATAGTCACATGCAATAGTAGTTCAGGTGGGTAGCTGCGTCAGCATGCGTAGGCTGCAAAGAAACAAGTAATAAGTTTATTCTATGCACATCCATGGGAAACCAAACCGAAACCAAAATTATTCTTCAGCTAGGATCACACATTCTCCCTTCTCTTAACGACAGACTACTGTTCTTTTAAATTTTCTCAATTCATTGGAAGTTTCATTTCACACCTCTCTGCACCCATTCTGACTAAACACCTCTTGATTGGCCTCTCTTTTTGTCCCCTGCTCCCGCCTCTCACTCCTCCTCCCTCCCAACCTTTGTTCTCCTGCTACTTTACCTTTGTCTACTGCCCTGTCTCTCTCACACCTGAAGAAGGCTCCACGGCCGAAATGTTGTGTTCTCTTTCTTCTTTTTTTCAGCATGGAATAAACCTATTACTTGTTCCTTTGCAGTCACATGCAATGGTTTGTTCAGTACAGAAGCTCATTAGCGCCACAGAGAAAAAAAATATTCAGTTTTTGGAGATAATTATTGCATTTAAGATAGAAAATTATTGCGACACTTTATTACTGCATATTACTATATTACTATTATTGAGATAATGTAGCTAACACATACTGTATGTGAAAAAAGGACTACTTCATAACTGCGATTGTACTCTGTTGGCTACGGCAGCATCTAGTGTTACATTCTGCAGCTGTTTCCTGTATTCTGAGGGTTGCATTCCCTTAAGCGTTTGCCTAAGTACTTTCATTCTTTGTTGCCCATTTCATTATACACTGGTGATTAAGGGTAAAGCCCTTTTCAAAAACAACACAAAAAATAAGACATTTGTCTCTGCTTGACTCATCTGTCATAAGGTTTATTTTCACTCTCGGTACTTTGCCAAAAGGCTTGGGATTCCCATAGAACTATGAAAAATACAGTTGCAAATTCAATATTTTTCGTGAAAATCAACATCTCATGTGAGTTATATAGTGTGTTCTAGAACTCATGTAGCCTGGTGCATTACACGCAAGATGCAGGTCTAAGCCATTCACTGTGGATTGGATTTGGGTGAAGGTATTCAACTGTACTTAATAGGATGCATGTCATTCCACTCATGTCGATATTCAAATTTTTCAATAAGCATAGGCCGAAAGCTTGTGTTTTCATGATTAAATACTGAAATAATGATTACAACAACAAACTGTAAACCAGTAGTAGGCGAACATCTTACTGTTAAATCTTCCTGCTCAATGTTTAAAAATTAGGCAACAACCTGTCTACAAGTTACTTCTGTTGCACACACAAGGAAACCCGTGTCTTTTCTGCTTTACACATAAATTGTGAAAATGATGTGTTAAACCCAGGAATGCTCAATTATAACATTATACTATACCCAAACATCCATTGTTAAGGAACATGTTCTACAGAACACAACTGAAAATTTAGATTTTAAAGTATAGAAAAATAAGCTTATAAATAAACTGACAAGTGTATACTGTTGTTAGTAATTCTTCTACTTGCTTGCTTACGCTTTTTTTTTTGCTGCACTCAACCATTTGTTTTTAGAAACGTCTCATTATAGGTAGTTTTAACAAACTCTTATGTTTAAGTTAGTCTAGTAATAGTGAGACACTCCCTAGAGTAAGCTAGAATGTTAGAATTTGGCTGACCTGTAAACGGACACATTATAACGGTTTTAGTAAAAGTGAAGTTAAATTGCTTTTCCTGGTGTTATGTTCAACTGTGTTTAAGTTATATATAAAATAACCCAAAAAACACGACATGGCGTCAGAAGTGGTGCCGTTGAAGTAAATGTGTGGAGGAAATAATTGCTACACACTAATAAAAAAGAAATGTGAGCTAGTGGTGAATAGCTGTCTGTTATGCCTAATCCACTAGATGGCGGTGTCCCTTAGATCGCGGTGTCTTTTAGTTCCTGCCAGTTAATTTCAGCATTCTGCACATGGGCAGTAGGGACTAGGAAGCAGTGAGTTACAGTTAAAAAAAACTTTTACACCCTAAATGAGGTATGAAATCAAAAGTATTAACGAGTATAAAGGGGTATTTCATAGGATTATGACAAGATCAGCAAGATGGATATTAGATTTTAACGGAGTGGACTGAGGCCGTAGCCAGTTTCTAGACATCTAGTCGGGCTAGGAATATCTGTTTACTCATTTGTAAGTAATGAGTTTCACACGTTCCTTGTATTTTATGTTCCTTTATTCTTTACAGAGACTTATGTTTAGTGGTAAAATGGGTATAGCACTATTTGTTAAGTGTATGCAATTGTAAGTATTATACTAATTATCGTTGAAAGTAATGTAGTTCTCAGTGAGGGTAGAGCTGAGAGGTGACCTGCGCAGCCTGTGAGCGGATTATTTCTGCACGCGCTGCGTGGTGTGTTGTTTAAATTTAAACTGTAATGTATTTTTTTTTTCAGTGTAGATGCGATTCTGTAACGGTTAGATGGAATGTTGAAACCGTAAAACTAAAATGTGTTTTTTTATGTTTTCCCTCATGGTAGGAAGAGCCACTACTGTATTTGCTGTAGGCAAAAATATCATTATATGTCATTTCTATTGTTTTTTTTATTATTTTCCAAACCAACAAAACAGATCAGACACCATACTTACCTGGAAATAAAGAACCCCAAAAGTATATTTGTGTCCTGTGCTGGTTATTCTTTGTCAGGCTACAGAAAGAAAAAAGAAAACGCCGGTGAAAATGGAGAAGTTACAGCCACCCACAGTCTCCAGTTCTCAGGTAATCTTGCTGAAAACTGGAAGCGATTTAAACAGCAATTCAAAGTATATTTATCTGCAATAGGGACTGATGTAAAAAGCGATACAATGAAACCATCTATTTTATTACATATAATTGGAGAGGAAGCGCTGGAAATTTATAAGAACTTTCAGTTCGAACCCGGAGAACATGTGAAGTTAGATATTGTCATACTGGATAAATTTGCAAGATGCTGCATTCCAAAACGAAATGTGACTTATGAAAGACAGATTCTTCAGTTGTACGTGTACACAAACTAGGTGAAATGGTTGATCAATATCTTACTGAGTTACAAACACGGAGTAAAACATGAATTTGGAGAGTTAACAGAATCTCTAATAAAAGATAGGATTGTCTGCGGTATTCCAGATAACGCACTCAGGGAAAGATTGCTAAGAGAGCAAGATTTGGATTTGGAAAAAGCATTAAGTAGCGTGAACTAAAGCTGTACAATATGCAACGCAGGGGAAACCAAAAAAAAACGCAAGTAAAAGAGAAAACTGCAATTACTGAGAAAAATAAAAAAATGGAAATAAAAAACAAGCGCATAGCACAAAGCATGCTTTTGGACGCTGTGGATCACAGCACGCTCCTAGAGAATGTCCAGCATATGAAAGAATTTGTAAAGAAATGTGGAACGAATATCCAATTTGCACCCTGCTGTAAATTGCAAGGAAAACTAAGCCAGGTGCATATTGTAGTAGAGGAACCTGAAGTTGAGTAATTTTATGTAGATACACTGACTGAAGTGAAAGAAAGAGTGCATTTTCCTGGTACAAGTGAACAATACAGTAATTTCATTGAAACTAGATACGAGAGCGCAAGTGAATATCATGCCTGAAAATGAATTTAGAAATACCTTTAAAGTGGAAATACCTTTAAAAGGGCTAGTGTTCTGTACAAAAAACAGAAAATACCTACTATAATTTGTAGTTGTGCCAAAAGATGTATAGGCAATTTTATGTTTGCATGTGAGAAAATGAACTTGATTGAGAGAGTGCTTACTATTAATATAGAGAGCAATGCAGAGTACAGTATGAATCACTGCTGCAAAAATATAGTATTCTATTTAAAGGACTCAGTTGTCTTCCCGGGGAGCAGAAGATAAGAATAGACAAAAATGTAACTCCTGTCATCTACCCCTGCTAAAAGGTTCCTTTCGCCCTAAAGGACAAACTGAAAGAGGAGCTGAACAAAATGGAAAGCATGAATGTGATCAAGAAAGTTGAGGAACGAACTGAATAGGTGAGCTCTCTGGTTATTGTAGAAAAGAAGAATGGTAAATTAAGAATATGTTTAGATCCCAGAGACCTGAATCTAGCCATTAAGAGGGAACATTTTAAACTGCTAACAAGGGAAGAAATTATGGCACGGTTTGCAAATGCAAAATATTTCAGTAAATTAGATGCATCTTCTGAATTTTGGCAACTAAAATTAGATTAACCTAGTTCCAAGTTGTGCACGTTAATAACCCTTTTGGCAGATATCGATTTCTGAGATTGCCTTTTGGAATAGCATCAGCCCCAGAGGTCTACAACAAAACAATACATATTATTTTTGAACATCTGGATGGAGTTGACACATCCATAGATGACATCATTGTGTGGGGATCTTCAAAAGAAGAGCATGATGAAAGGCTGAAAAAAAGTTCTGGATGCTTCAAGAGCAGCAAATTTGAAGTTAAACAAAGAAAAATGTATGATAGGAGTAAAGGAACTGATAGTTTTTCTGAGCAGTGATGGAGTTCGTCTTGATAAAACAAAAGTATCTGCTATTGAAAATATACCAAGGCCACAGTGCAAGAAATATGTGCAGAGATTCATGGGTTTGGTTAATTTTCTTGCAAATTATATTCCTAATCTATCAGAAATATTAGCACCTCTTAGACAACTGACTGAGAAAAATGTTGAATGGAGTTGGAACCGTGAGCAAGAGATGTTCCTGACCCAGATGATCTACAATCCACATAAACCAATCAAGATTTCATCAGATGCCTCACAATATGGATTAGGAGATGTACTATTACAAAAGTATGAAGAAACATGGCAGCCAGTAGCGTATACATCTAAATCTCTTACTGGAGCAGAGATAAGATATGTGCAAATAGAAAAAGAGTTGTTGAGCATCACTTTCACTTGTGTAAGGTTTCATCCGTTTGTATTGGGATAAGCTGTAATGGTTGAAACAGACCACAAACCATTGATAGTTTTGTTTAAAAAAACTCTCAATGACTGTCCACTATGTATTCAACACATGATGATTAAACTTCAGAGATACACCCTGGACGTACAGTATAGTAACATTCACTCCAGGCAGATGGATGTTTACGACGACACGCTGTCAAGGGCAGTAGATAAAAAATCTAGACATCAAGAGACGATCTCAGAGGCAGTAGAACAATATGTGGACATGCCAGTCCACATGCCAGTAACAGCAATACCAGTGTCAGACAGCATAACACAGCTTATCTGGAAAGAAGACAAAGCAATGAAAAGGCTGAAAGAAGTAATCCTACAAGGATGGCCAGAAAACAAGCATGACTGCCACCCACAAGTGACTGAGTACTGGAGCTGTCGGGCAGAACTTACAGTTGTGGATGGAATCATATGCAAAGGTAGCAGAATTGTGATACCAATGTCATTAAGGAAGCAGATGCTACAGAAAATTCATGAAGGGCATTTGGGAAATGAAAAGTGTAAGAAAATTACACTTTAGTGAATTAACTAATTAGCTTTCTTACTTTTTTGGCATCTGGTGTAGAATCTTTATAAACCTTTTTTAACATTTATTCTGTGAACCTCAGACATTTCAAGATTTCAGACCAGATATCAATCACAAACTCTTGTATGAATTCTTTGTGTGCACGTTCCACAGCAATCTGCCTGATGTTGTCAGCCCAGGGTTATTTTTTACTTGAATGATTTGCTAGTATTTCTGTGAGCTCAGAGATGTCCACGTTTGTAAAATCTAATATGCAGTTTGGACAATGTCTATCTCAGAAGGAAAAATTAACTTCAGGAAACAAACAAAATATGAGCTTCCTGAGACTGAATCTTTCCAAACAGCACTTGCTGCATGAAAGCTGGTGCAAGTCGAATTGGGAAATACCCATATTGCTTATAACACACTAAGAAAATTCTTGCCAAGGTTTCCCATTTTAACTTTCCAAAATAATGACACCGATGAAGCGATGAAGCGATGAAACTCCGTGAAGTTACCCCCGTTGCTGTTTGTAAGGGGGCCATCTTCACAGAGCTCGCAGGTGAGATAGCTTGTGGGTTTTCCGAAGTGTGCATCTGCTATAAAACTCCTACTAGAACAATGTGTCTTGTCTTGTGAGACTCCATGCTGATCGTTTGCCTCAGGATCCCATTGTACAATACATACAATATAATCAGTACAGTGAGAAGTGCACTAAGAAGATGTTATCTGTTCTACTGGATCCCTCCTTTCATCTATCAATGTGTGTGGACAGTCAGTTGTCCATGTCTCACAAGAAAGGTGCTCCTGATCAGGTGGGTCTCTTCCCTTTTCTGCAGGTTTGTCGGACCAAGTTACAAAATTACTGGATGCATCTTCTGAATCTGAAGATATTTCACATTGATTCTGCAGGTAACAAGGTAAAACCCCAACATTGGAAGTTTTGTTCATTGATATGTTTGTGCAACACTTTCTCCCATTAAGGGGATTCTTTTGAAAATCAGTAACAAAAAGTGAATTCATGTTCACATACACAAGCTGATTTTCCATGAGGTAAAAATATTTCCCTACCAGTCTTCAAAATATCTGTATTCTCTGGAAACAGACAATCTGTCGCAGATGGCGTTAGGAGCACCAGGTTGGACCCTATGCAGCTCTGAGACTCAAGGCGATTGAAACCAATTAACATCTAAATCCCAAAAGGCAAAAGTTGAAACAAGAGAACTAAGTCGGGTAGCCAAAAGAGTCAGGTCAAGTGAATCCAAATCCAACACAAAAAACGAGGCGAAGTCAAAGTAGGAGTAAACTTGGTCGGGTAGCCAAAAGTCAGGTCGAGAGTAGTAGCACGCACCAGAGAAAGCCAAGGGTAATTCTCAATAATGAGCGGGGACTGAGTGGAGTAAGAGGGTATAGATAGTGAAGGGCGTGAGGAGGAATGACAATTGATTTATTAGTGTGTGGATGTTGCCAGTGTGAGATGTTCGTAAATATCCGATACGAAGGAGCACGTAAAAACGTTTCTGAAATAACCACATGTAAGACTTTGATGCTTAAAATATTTAGGGAGAAATGGAATACCGGTGTGTATTTTTTTCTTTAAATTACCAATAAAAGCAATATACATTTTATATAGTATGTATATATTTCTTATTTAATATTGTTTATGGACATGGTGAATTGGAGATTCTCAAAACTTACTTTGTATGATTGGAAATGAATATGTGATCGGATCAACGGAATGCTGTGGTGTTACTTTTTGTCAATGAAAAAATAAAGTATTTTCGTTTACAAAGAATGTGGACCAGGTTAATACTTTCAGTTTACATCTTTTCCAAGGCCATTCATAATTAATACTATTAGTAATATCTTAGGTAATTTTGATTTTGATGCAAAAAATATTTCTGCATAATTAAAATATGTATGATAAAGGTGGTAGGTTGTGTACTTTTGTCCAACTGAGCAATCTTGCTTTCATAAAATATACAAAATTTTTAATTTATAATGATTAACATGCAGTAATACACAGTTTAAATTTAAAAGTCTAACGAGCATACAACTTAAATTCTTAATTGAATAAAGATTGTCCCTCAGCAGTGATCGGGATTTTTGATGACAGCTCAAATGCTGAACGAGAGGTTAAGCTTCATTAGCTCCACCTGGCGGTTTCACAAGGTGATTCCGGATACTATTAACATAATCTAATTTGCATTCGGTAAAATGCTGTAGGACGCAGCATACCCCGCTCTTTTTGAATGGCTGCATCTGTAGTTGTGTGTATTTCTGTACGTTAAAGCCTGGCTGATATGTAAGTCTCCATTCGCTCCTAGACTGAGCCATTTTGGGAACGTAACATGACCTTTTCCTATTTTATTTCAGAATTTTAAAAAAATCAGCCTTATCTCAAGGTGTTACACCTTGACTATTATTATAAAAACAACATGAAATACTTTGAAAACAATTTTACGTGTAATAGAGTTGTTCAAGTTTTAAAATAAATAAAATATTTTATGGAGATAAAATGTCTGTGTGAGTACGAGACCATTTTTAATGGTGCAAGCATTTAAAATAACCACTATTACAGTAGAGGAGCTTTTCAACTGAAGCACAACGAGTATTTATTCTTTAAATGTATTTGAGCCATGACAGGCAACTAGTGGAAGATACTACATCATTGCTGTGGCTCTAGATATGAATGAAAAAGGTGTGAGCCTGGCCAGTACCTGGATGGTGGTGTTAGTGGGGCCAGTGGACCATCCTGTGGTCTTTGTGGTTTCCAATGCCCCCAGTATAGTGATGGGCACACTATATTGTAAAAAGGTGCCATCCTTCAGATGAGCTGTAAAACCAAGGTCCTGACTCCCTGTGGTCATTAAAAATTCCAGAGCGTTTCTCAAAAAGTGTACAGGTGTTACCCCGGCATCCTCGCCAAAATTTCCCATTGGCCTTTATAAATCATGACCTCCTAATAATCCCCATCTCTGAATTGGCTTTATCACTCTGTTCTCCTTCCCACCGATAGCTGTTGTGTGGTGAGCGTACTGGTGCACTATGGCTGCCGTAACATCATTGAGATGGGTGCTGCACATTTTTTTGTGGAGGAGGGGAGTCCTCATTTCTTGTTTCAAGCCCTTTGAGTGGAGTGTCCAGTGCTATGTAAGTGTAAGGAATTATCACTTTGCCAAATATCATAATTCTTAATTCAGATATATGATTTGTTTATGATTTTGATAGAAGTGTTACTGTTCAACCATCTCACCACCAGAGGGCACTCCAACCTCTAGCACCTACTCCAGCTGTGCAGCAGAGGCACAGACCAAGCAGATGTCTGTAACCAGTACTTAAGCCTAGTGTCCCTAGCTCTCCATACCTCCCCTCCTCAGGCTTATTTAAACCCTGCTCTCTGACCATGATGTGTTTAATATTGTTTACTTCACATTGAGTGAGTGAATTAAAAAAAAAGTTTAGTTTTTCCTAGTTATAGTAGTTTCCCTCTTGTCTTTATTCCTTTCCTGGTTACCCTGTTTCTTACTTTTGTTCTTTGGAATTGTTTCCCTTTTGCATATTTTTCCCCCTGTTTGTTGTTCTGTGCTTCTGGTGTTTTGTTTTTCTTCCTGGATTACTAACCTGGTTTTGGGATTTGGCCTGTTTTTCAACATTGTTTCTTGGTTGTGTTTTATTGTTATCTTTCTGGATCTTCCTGGTTCTGGACTTTGGCTTGTTTCAAGGGTGTGGGTTGCGCTTTATTTTCCTCATTTTCTTTGTGACAGTTGGAACACACATATGGTCCATTTCTTGATTAGCTGAGCTGTCTGAGAGCCCTAACAAGAAGTGCACATAATATTCACCCTTTATGAGGTCATTTGTCCCATTTAGCTCAGATGGTTTCTAAGTTGTTAGTTGATTCAAAAATCTTATATAAATCTCATGAACTAACTTTTGCCACATTAATTTTAGTAGTACCTGATGAAACCAGTTTAAGACTCTAAAAGAGCTTTAAAGAATGGTCATAGTAGATGGATACAGAAGGTATATAAAGGAAAACTAACAGTATGTGGAAGAACTACCCCCTGCTGGGAAATATATATATTCTAGTTAAGGCTCTGGGCTGTACTTCAGTGTCCAGTGCCTTCAAAACACCAGAAAAACAAAAAAGTTGAATCAAGTTGCAGCCTGGCATTTTGGAAAGATGAAATTAGTACTGTATGTGGCTGCAGAACTAATATTAACTTCAAACATTTTGGTCATTCTTGAAATGTTTTTTTAAACTTGTTAAGTCTTATTTCTTATATAAATGTATCTTTAAAAACTGAAAAAAAGTTATTCACCCAAAGGAATTTGTTTTAGCATACACCAGCAAAGGTCAATTAGAACAACTCCAAACAGATGTTCAAAGAATTATGCTATCATCTCCATTTGATGTCTGCACAAAAGGAATAACAATTAGATTATCTAATTTATAAAAAGAAAAGATGATCTTGTCAAGTGTGCATATGACAAAAAATAGTGAGAGTAGCGAAACGTTTCAGATACAGGAAATCAATTGCTTTAGGCGCCATCTGGGACTCCTGTGAGAAACGTTATGTACATAAGTATGGAGTATAGTGTTGTGGTAATGATTATAAATATAAGATGGCTGACCCCGCGCTCTGACCCCAAGCTTCTCTCTCTCTCTGTGTCTGTATCTCATGGAGAGCAAGCTGGGGTATGCAAAAAGATGAATTCCTAATACAAGAAATTGTATAGGGCTAATAAAGTGATGTTGTTAAACCAGCACAGTGTTTACTAGTCCATACTGTACCTTATAGCCATAAGACCTGCATAAAAGACACCAGATATCAAACACAGAAAAGACAGACCAGAGGCTTACTTGATAACTATGTTTAATTAAGAACAACCATGCACACACATTTTGTCAAGCAGACATCCTAAAAAAATGTTTTCCTTTATTTCATGGGATTTGCACTGAGGCTACATCAGAAAGAAAAGCAGTGTAACCAGCTGATGCTATCAAAATGATATTAAAACAGGGAACCTGGGAAGAGAAGCACACGTAAAATGCAGAGTACAATATGCTTTGAGGTGATGTAAGGTTAAAGAAGCTGGAAAGTATACAGCTCAGTGCAGCAGTGAAACAACTTAATTCTTAACATTTCTTTCTTAAAATACTTATTATGAATTCATAAATCATAATGTTACTTTAAATATGAGAGAATACAAACATCTAATCAGTGTGTGATGGTCCAGCTGTTTCAGACAGATTCTATGCAGGCAGCATAGCTCCTCCTGCAATCCTGCTCATTATACAAACATTTCATTTAATGTCTGTATTATCCTATTATCCTTTTAATGCACTTAAAATGCTATCCTTCCTTTTAATGCTAACATAATGTCCATGATTGTACGGCAGAGATACAGGCAGCATATGCTGTGTTCTTGCATATAATTATGTTTTGTATGCTGTGAGTATTGATAGAAAACAGATACAGAACATGATTACTTGCAGTTTGATCATTAATATTACATTTCCACCACTGTATTAATCAAATCACCATGGCATTAGTTTGTATGTCAATACAGAACTTTTTCAGACAAGTTGTACTTGCCTCATCAAGCCCTGATCTTCTGCGATAACACAAATCTTTAATTGTTCTCAGGTGTGGGCACAGCAATTCTTATTCAATTTGATTAAAGACACTTCATAAGTATAAATAAAGACATCAGAAGCTACTGTCAAGGATATATCAATAGAAAAACAGCTGCTTCAGCTGAAGTGAGACAAGAGAATGGATTTCCACAACTGCATGTACTTTGTAGCCAAAGAATAAACAGCAGTCATAAATTGAAAAGTGTCCTGCAGTTCTCCGTTTGCTGTATCACACCATAGACATAAATACTGTACATTGCTTTTCCAAGTTTCTCTTCCACTTGTCACCTCTGTAAGCACTAAACAAACAGACCTCACTGCACACATTGCAAAACTGTCTTTGCTCACTGAGTGTCACACTTGCACATGGTAAGAATTTCCCCCTTCTGAACAGTCCGAATCCAATTTAATAAGCCTCTTTCACATGCCTGCCCAGGAGCTCAAGTCAGGAAAGTTCTCTACCTCCCCCAGCTCACTCATCTTCTGGGTGCCATGAGTAAAGTTGAGCTTGTACCGTAATCGCACTTTACCCTGTAGGGAAAAAAGGCCATTAAAGTTTTGACTGGAGGACACAACAACAGTAACAGATGTGGTAGACAGGTTTGATTGAGCTCTGTGATGACTGGTACAGAGGTAGCAGAGACAAGAAACCTTCTTTTTAATCTGAATCCTTCTTACAAAATGTATGGTCTAAGACATTACCCACAGCTGTAGCTGCACTGAGGAAAAATCAAAATTCACTAGGACAAAGTGAATTTAAAGGCAAAACCCAAATGTTCAATGATTATAATGTATTTAAATGTGAAATGTATTTATTATAGCTACATAACCACAGTGCAAGGGCTACATGAGGTTAACCTTGCAAAACGTAAGACATGACATAATTTTCTTATCTAAAACTTCATTTAAAATGACTAAATTAAGTCACAGTAAAAACCTTCAAGAATACACTTCTGTTTATCGTGTTCAATGTTCATCGTGGATCTGGCACTGTATTCTCAAAGTATTTCAGCACATATATATGTTCTGTGTGTATGACCAGAATCCTGGTATGGATTCAATGCATTCTAATTACAGGTCATTGCCCAGACAAGCAATAGACATATCAAGAGGTCAGTCCTCTGATGCAGGAGATCTGAAGGCTCTTGGGATCCTGGGAGAGTGACATCATTGCAACAGTCACAAATTTCACAAAGACACATGCAAGTGCATTTAAAAAGCTGATTCTTAAATTATAATATGTGTTAAATGTTTAAGAAACATATTACAAGATACATGGAATGTTTCAAAACTTATATCTGTGCTTCATCTAATGTAATTCAGATAATGACATTACATTTTTTCTGACTTTCCCATTTAATATCTTTTAATATGTCAAAATGTATTGACTATAAATCCTGAGAATACTGTTTAACTTCAATCTGACAGCCTGTAGAAATACATTCTTATTTAATATGCACAAGAAAATATATAAACTAGATTTACATCATTAACTTTTAATTGGCTCCCTATTTGTTTATGTTGTTATGTTAAACAATATCAAAATTGTTTTGATATTGTAAACTACTGTTTTAAACCACCCCTGAATGGTTAATCAATTTATATGCTTTCAGAAGGGGAGAGAGGACTGTTCTGGAGGAGTTTTTCAGTGTTTCACCTGCAGGCTCATTTTGATTGGGGATCTTCATATCTGGCTCATATCTGCACCCAGAAAAGCTTTTTCTGCTTTTACTTACTTGATAAAATAGAGTGTCTCGTTCTGTTTATCAACATTACAAATCCTTTAAAAGGGAAATCTGGTGCTAAACACAAGTCAAACAAACTATTTAAACTGAATACAAAATATTGTTACCAACTGAATTGTTGGAAAACCATTTAACTCTGTATGTGTTAAAGTTCAAAGCTGAGAGTTTGTCCTAATGGAAACATCCATTTGGCATCCTTAATAACTGTACTGGGAAGACACAGTGTGGTATTAAAGACATGTTTAGGGAACACAATTACTGCATACTGTAATTATCTTATATTTTCTGATGTCCGATTTGGTGTAGCTTACTCTGCATCCTTGTTTTGCACTGGATTTCTGCTGTAAGAGCAGAATCATTGAAATAAGGCTCTAGTTAAAGGAACAGGAATCCATGCTGAATAACGAAGACTATTCAAGACAGCAGGTTGGTAAGGGGGCTCATTATGGCAATTCTAATCTAAGCATGATCATTCTAAATCTTGCCTTTGACGAATTCCACAATAATATGAATTCTATTTTGCTCTTGTAATAACCTCTTTGAATAAAGGTGTCAGCCAAATAAATAATAGTAGTGATATTGCAAAACTAACAACCAAAATCACAAAAAGGCCTCTTTTTGTCTGTAAACTTTCTTACATATTGATGTTGTAATAATAATTAAAGGATGTCGTCTTTTTTTGTCCTTTGAACTCATCTAAAAATATTGCTATATTTAAAGATCATATAGGTTAAGAATCACACCTGATCTACATAAGCTTCCAAAGGAAAGCCTACTCTTGTAAAGCAGAGAAATAAGTAAAGGATGTGTGCATAGTTGATACTCACTCTCTGTGGGTTGGACAGTAGCATGACCTGGGAGATCACAGCTGGGGGCAGAATGGGGTTATAGGCTGGAAGCTCAGATCCTGTTGCCGATTGCAATTTAACTCTCATTGTCTGAAAGACATGAGGGTGCTTTTAAAGACCAGGATTACCAAACCAAAGTGCAAACTGTATTGGACCCCAACTCATCATTTGGCGTCCAATATCATGAGCAAATTTTATATTTAATAAACTGAACTACTGCACTACAGATTTTATAGAACATATATTCTTCATTTTAAGGCCTTTTTAATTTTGTGGAAAGTAAAGAAAGACTGCATGCTGGGATTGGCTCTGGTTCCCTCACGACCCTGTATTAGATGGATAAAGAAAAATCCTGAAAGAAAACCTGAAGGCAAGTCTAGCCAACTAGCTATATTTCCAATGTGCTCAATTAATATGCTTATTTATGTACCTGCTATTTAGAAGAATACTTTTATGATTAATAGTTAATAATTTCATAATGTATTTATTATAGGTACTGCTAATTAGTGAGCTGGAGGAGTCCAATGTTGAAAAATCTGGTTTAGGGCATGCCTGGCTATATCAAAAGCCTCTGCCATGGAGGACTGCATTAAGTACATGAACTCCTATTAGTATAAACTCCTTGTGGCACATTTTGAAATGCAAACCTGACTGTCACCTCATTTTAAAACCTGAACTTCTTTCATGTCTCTAAAGAAAGGTCCCAGACAGAGCCTAAAAGATTTAAACGTATTTCTGGCTAATCTTTTTTTAAATGAATTTAAAGTATATGTTTTATTTAAGCTGTAGTGGTCTAGATCTTACTGGTTTCAAGGCTACATAATGCAACTTCACAATGAGCCCAGAATGAGGCTATTTTCTCACCTTTGGTACAGCAGCTTGAAATACAATATCTTTCACGGGATAAGGGGAAGTGCTCAGCATGGAGATCAAAATGAGAACAATATCTGGTCGTCCAACTGGCGTGTTTTTGGCAAAGTGAAGCATCACTCGCAGTCCATTCTTATCGTAGGCAGTAAGTGGTGGAGTATTACCTGTGCAACACAAGTCCCAACAATATTTTAAAATGCAGAATCAAATCTGATACTGTCACTGCATCCTAAACTGATATGACCCTGAGTGCTTAAATCCAATTTAAAATGCAAACTTCATGGCACAGATAATGGATTGACTCTTATTTATACATTTTATATTTTTCACTTATGTAGCACACTACATCTTTCACAAAAAGTTCAAAATTATTTTTTAATACTGTTTACATCTCTTAAATAGCTGGAGAGCTCAAGTTATTTAGAAAATGTTGCAGCATCTCCACATTAAGAGTAGAAAAGTATTTAAAAAGAGAAATTTCACTGATTATTAATTAAAACCTAATTTTAATTAAGACCACAACTGGAACAAAACCTAGAAGACAATGACGAAGACGTGGGCTCAGAAAAACAAAAATGAAAACTAAACAGAATATAAGGGTTATTTAAGATTAATTACCATATTTTTGAATTCTTTCAAATAATAGTCACAACATACAGTAAGTACGGTAGACTTACTTGGCATTATAGAATCTAATGAGATAAAGATGTCTGAAAAGCTCATATCCTGAAGCTGGCCTCCAGGACAGGGATGTGAGTTCACAATGGGCTGATTCTCAGGAATCCTGGGGTGGAGAACTGACCTTTCATAGAAGGGAACTGTTTTAGTAAACTGCTAAACATGACAGGATTTCATACAGAAAGTAATAACTTGCATTTTTCTATGCAAAATAAGGGTTACAATAAACAAACTGTATATTCATTTTTCAGTGGGACATTCTGATTCTGTGATTTTTAATGACACATCTCTTTCCCTTTCTGTCCATGTGTATTGTATGAAGGTACTGATAAGATAAAAAATACTTTAAAATATCTTACATATGCATCTAAGTTAAAGTTATTTTCTTAGATTTCATTTAACCAGCTGAGAGATGTTGGCTTGCATCTCATTCTCTTACCAGTTGCTGTGTTGGGCTTCTGAAGTCAAAGATTTGGTTCTGTGGTCTCCCTGTCCCCTGGGGGCACTGTCTACATTGCAGCCTCTTGCAGTCAGCATGCTGGCTGGTTTCCTCTTCTCCACCTTGTCATAGAACCTACCACACTGTTCCTGGAAGCTGAAAGCATCTTCCTTTAAAGGCTGGAAAAGACCATGAAAAAAAGAAAATGGACCTCTTAAATAAAACTTAGATACCACACAGGACAAAAAAGGACAAAAAAGATGATAAATGAAAGGGAGAACATTGAGCCCTTTGTGCTTGCTAGGTTACTAGTAGCTATTTGAGCTTATTCTGCTCATTCTTGAAAGATGTTTACACTGCTGAATGACCCAAATCGTGTGTACTGCTCAGGTTGTTGGAATAGATCATAAAGTTGAAAAACTATACAAACTAACTGATATCAAATACATTTACAAAAACATATTTTTAATAGATAAAATGAAGACCCTACCTTAGCTAACACCGTGCTGTTCGTTGTATGAATCTGTTGGGAAGTCTGTGGTACTGGTGGATCATTCAGCCCTACAAATAACAGGATATAGGATGCATAGCAACATTAGAACATCTACAGCAATAATAAACCTGTAAATACCATATCACTTGCTTAACTAAACAGGACAGGCAGATGTTAGCACACACTAATAATGTACTCTCCCTTCAAGTCTTCTGTGGGAGAATGTGTCTGACTAAATTTAGCATCACAAAATAATATCAACTACTGGAAAACTAGGTAAAGTTCCTTCAGACTAAAAGTAGCTTAGTATCAAACCTAAGGCATACTGAAGTGCAAGTCACAATCATTTAAACTTATTTTACATGCACTGATGACATAACAAAAATACCCAAATAAAACACCAACCTAATAACATAAATTCTTCATCCAGAAGTGACAAAGAGCTGCTCTCTTCCTGGCAAGAGCCTTTGTATGGAGTGGAGCCAGTCTCCAGACAGTTCAGCTCGTTGAAGTCTATAAGGTGATAACTTTTTATCTCTTTGGGGCTCTGAGGATCTGCACATGCCACAAGAAGTAGAAAGGAAAAGAATTATGGAGGAATCCTTGTCGTAGAGATCCACTTTAGTTTTAAACCAGTCTGAACCGGAGCTCACAAGTGGCCCAGTCAATAATGCTGCAATAAACTCCTATGTACAGCATGTCCCATGGTCTTGATTTCTGGTCCAGATATCCTCAGTTCTTTCTGGCCTATGTCACTAGCTGTGACCAGGATTCCTAAGAGGTAGTGCACTGGCTGATGACGATAACAATAACACCCCCATCCACTTACAGGCCAGGCTTACACCTATTAAGCTTCAGTGGTTCGCCTGCTGTTAATTGCAAGGTGATATAGCTGCTGGCGTACCTCAAATTGTTTAAATGGATGGACTGTGGCCAACAAAGGCATTCTTTTTCTAGGTCCTTCTTAGGTCCTTGTTTCCAGTTCCTGGGTCACTGGGACTTTAGTGCTGTGACCTTGTGCTTTTGCCAGAGAGAGATGTACCACTCCTCCAATTAGCACAATTACAATTGTGGACACTATGGCTAATGGCTGTGATACTGTAAGTGTAAGTGTAAGAGAAGTCCTCATTATGTCCAGGCCATGCAGGGAATCAACACTGAAAAATATCTGGTATAAGAATTTTAAAAAATTGACACACACTATTTCATAAAATTGCTCCTGCAACATCTGTACAACATTGTTGTCAGTCAATGATTCATGTGATTAAAGAAGAGGACTGTAAGGTTGCAAAAGACACTTTGGATTATTTTAACTTCATTCAGTGCAGCGTATTTTAAGTTGATTTCTATTTGAGACATTATATATGTATATGATTGATTTACTTCAGCAAGCTGGAGCAATTTCAGTTGAACATCGGTTCAGGATTTGGTGAAATCCATTTCAATTTCTTTTAACACAAACCAACTCTTTTTTCCCCCATACATTCTGAAGAAAAATGCATACTGTACCTTTAACTCTGGAGTACTCACTCAATCTGTTTCCATTTAGTTCTTTTTTTACCACTAGCTCTTGGTATGCATTTACTGCCAAGGTCAGCTTATCGTTGGCTTGAAGAATCTCCGCTGGGAAAGAGGAAAAAGGAAATTCTAAATAAAACAAAATAAGTAGTAAATGCTTTGAATACCCAAAATCCGGTTAAGTTTTACCCACTATTTTCCCAGAGGTAATATGCACCAAATAAAATGAAAATAAAATTGTTTTAAGCAATTGATAGTGGTGGCTCGGTACACTCTTACTCTCTTGTTTTCCTAGAATTCAATTTCCTTATCTCCTCCATAGCATCTACTGTAAAAGTATAAATACAGTGAAGAATGTAGACCTAACTGGAAAAAATTAACTACATTTTAGGCCAAAAACTTTTGGTTTAGGGTTAGGTTGGGTCTGCTTAGGTTACTTATCACATTTGTCATTCTATTAATACTTGACAGACCCAAATCTGAAGAGATATATGTAAATATGGAATAATTAGTTACAAGTAAAAAATCCAACTTTTGCCTGACATCTGTACCTAATGCTTCATCATTATCAACAGTATCGCTGGCCAGACGAAAGAGGGTGGGTCTCAGTTTTTCACATTTCTCATACAGGTCCTGGAACAAAGCAGATTCAGATGCTTTATCTTCTTTTACAGTGAAACTTTCACATTTGGAAAGCATTCAGATCTTTGGGTTCTGGCCTTGTCACTACATGACTGGAGACATTTATTTTATATTGACCTTTTGTAACATAACATGAATTTGAATTTAAACAAAGTTAATCAACAAACCTCCAGAACTGTTTGTAATTTGTGACTAGTACATTTTCAGTTAATATAGGAACTCTAAACTGTGCATTTTGAAGTAAGCATATATTGGTTCTTATCTCCCTTAGCTCATCAGTTATCAGTTTCTGTTAACAGCAGAAGTTTATGTTCCAGAGTGAAGTTACAAGGGCGATTGTGAAATTTTACAAAGGCTTTAATATTCTTATGTTTAACTGCAGTTAAGGGCAATATTATAAAAGGTACTGTAATCTACTTTCATTCTAAATAGATCACACAGAGGGACAACACCCTCCACACAGGTCTGAGAATAGAGCAACTTATAAAAAAACTAAGAAGAGACTTTAGATATCCCAGCTACTGTTCAGTAATTATCAATCCATTAATTAGCAGCCATTAAGATAATCAAGTAGGTAGCTGTAGCTGTGTAGGTAGCTGTGTCAGCATTCATAAGCTGTAAAGGAACAAGTCAGGTGCCACACCTTCTTCTGTTTTCAGCATGGAATAAACTTTTACTTGTTCCTCATACATTATCATCATCATACATTAAACACCCACGCCTCTGCTGCTATTTCTTTTTTGATCCTCATTCCTCTTGATAATATTCAACAGTTCTGCTACAGTGTTGCTTATTCCTGCAACATGCCTCTCAGGATGTACAGTACCTTCATGGTGTCTCTATCGCTGCTTGACAATTGTTGCCTCCTGTAACTCTCCAGTAACTGTTTCAGAAGCTTTGTATTGTTCTCTACTTCTTCAATGGTAGCAATACGTTTGGATACTTTCTCCATCTTCTCTTGTTTCTGCAAAAAGTGAAACGATTAAAACTAAAAAGCACAGTGATTGCATCATCTAACTCCTAGGTGTGTTGCTTACTCAGGAACATGATTGTGACAAAAGCTTTAGAAGATCTGCTTTTCATTTGAGCACTGAGATGCTAAGAGTCTGATATGATTAGCATCCTTGACATTTTTTCTTCGTTTGAAACTTGGTAATTATTTTTTATGCCATTGTGACACCACAGGGGTGGCCTTGAGGATATTTAAAATAGGCAGGTTAAAGAGAAACACATGGAATCTGTCTCTTGTTCTGCACCCCAGCAAAGATCTGCTGTCTATATTTGCACTAGAAATGTTAATTAGAACCCACAAGACAGCAAAATAAATAGATGAATTGCCCAAGAACCCCCAACAATTATATAAGATTTTTCCCTCATTTTGGTAGTGTACTCGATAGAACAGAAAACTGTTATCACATAGTAAATGATTCATACTGGAACACATGTAACTGTTTCAGTTGTAGAGGATGGTCATGTAGCTGGGATTCCCTTTGCCAGCAGCTCTGTGCATTCTCGAAGATCATTACTTTAGGCTATGTGCACCTGCTGTATAACAGCACAGACTCTCACACAGGCCTTCGGGAGGAAATGAGATTCCTAGCAGTTCCCAGAGGATAAAATGTTGTTGTGACACTAACAAATCCATTACTGGAGGCAGATCTGAGCTATACCTATCCTGTAGTCCAGTGGTTCTCAAACTGTGGTACGCGTACCTGTAGTGGTACGTGGCGTGCCGCCAGGTGGTACGCCAAATGACCCTGGAACTGTGTTGTGTGCGCTGAAAAAAATCGGGACGGGATTTCAGATTTTGTATTTTTATACGTGTCGAATACGCAGCCTATGTACTACGATACAGTGCGAGCTAATACTTCAGTGGACACAAGAGATACTCTGTAATTCTATACCACTCTATAGGAATGCATGCTACGGACGCAAGTGACCAATTGTATTTAAAAAAATCTACTTTATCTCCAGCAAATAGGGAGAAAGGAGAATGTGCGTGATTTTGGAACAATGCTAACGTTGTAAACACAGGAATGCATAGAAATGCGTGCTACGAACGCTGGTAATCTTGTGAGCACAGGAAAGCGTGAAAAATAACAGAAAAATAATTAAGAACTCTTCTAAGTTAATTTGAGAAAATACACCGAGCGTCTCTGTGTTTCTCTCCCATGCGCATGAAATAAATACTTAAAATAAACACTGAAATAAAAACGGAAACGTGGAAAAATGCAAGCTTGCGGATTGCTAAAGCAGGTAAGCCCCACACTATTATTTGTGGAGAAAAAGCTGCTGAACAGCTCGACCTGCTGCCCCCCCCGAAAGACACAGTCATTCATAGAATTATTGAAATTAAGGATAATATCAAAAGTATGCTGACAGAGCGCGTTACGATGAGCAGATGTTTTTCACTGCAATTAGATGAGTCTGTAGTCGATTTGGCCAATTTGCTCGTTTACGTTAGATACGAGTTTGAGGGTACGTCCCGTGAGGACTTTCTGTTCTGTAAGCTGCTACCAACAGGAACTACAGGAGAGCACGTATTTCAGCTTCTGAATGAATTTATCGAAGAGAATGGCATCGACTGGATAAAATGTGTCGGAGTTTGTACAGACGGTGCTAGAGCAATGACAAGCCGACACAGCTGTGTAGTTGCACGAATTAGAGAGGTTGCTCCAGAAATTAATGGTTTCATTGTAACATCCACCGCGAGACCTTTGCCGTCAAGAAAATGCCTGACGATTTAAAATCTGTTAGACTGTTGTGAATTGTATCAAGGCTCGAAAAATTAATTCACATCTGCTTTGTTCGACTAAACAGGCTCACCCCTCTCACTGAAATGGTGCTTTTTTAGTTTTATTTGTTGTTGTTTTTTTTCGTAAAACACTTTGAGAAGCCACATTTTAATATATCAAACAAAGCTTATTATTATAATATTTATTATATGTATGTGTGAGTGTGTGTGCACATGCGCTCATGTTGGTCATTGAGAATTTTTGGGGTTCCTATGAGAAGATGACTTGTAGGTGGTAAATGGATGCTTTGGTTGGATTAGGGGTGGTACTTGGTCCAAAAAGTTTGAGAACCACTGCTGTAGTCCAATGAGACTTGAAAAACTAGAGTTTTGATGCTTTATATAATTTCAGTTCAAGCATATTAATCAATGGCTAATTAATCAAAATCATATAGCCCTACAGTGAATAAAAAAGAAGACAAAACTACAATGGAACTAAGGTATGTAACTTTTTTGTGATTTTTAACCACTCCATTTCAGCCAAGGAAGATCCTGGACTTCAGGGAATGGCTAGATGGAGTTTTATGTTCCTTTAGCCACTAAATTACTAAACAAGCTGGATGGGCCAAATGACCTCTTTCCATGTACAGCTTTTCTTTTGTTCTTATCTGCTATGAGACAAACCAAATGAACATAAGCCTGGGCATACAGCAATAAGGCCACCTAACAATGGAAGAGAAACATTCATGGGATAAATGGTGAGAACCTTCTACAGTCATTCCCTCTATGAGAGATCATACCTCTTTTATGGTGTTCTTAATGAGTCTGTTGGCTGCTTGGAGATCCTCAGGTTGTTTACTTGTCAGAAGCTTCTCCAGTAACTATAAAAATATCAGACCTTTTTAGCAAACTGTGGGTTGACACAGTTCTGGCAGATTCAGTTATGTTACTCACATGGTAAACCATCCCTGTGGAGCACAGTGAAACTTATCAATGGCTGTAAGGCTATTCTGTTGCAATCAAATTATCTTCCTCTGTAAACTATCAATGACTCCAGTGGAGACTTAAAAAGTAGGAGGAAGCTGGAGTGTTTTCTCCTTTCACATCATGCTCTGGCATTGGCAATATGAATTCCCAAAATAGAGTTGTTCCTCATGCCAGTTTCAAATTTGTTCATGTTGTTCTTAAGTCAACTAAGGCTGTATTTCCAAAAGGAACAGCTTCAATGATTAACTTTTAAGAAATAATTTCATATTGAAAGTAAAAATCCTTTCTACTGTAATATATCACATGAACCTAAAGTTTAATTAAAACAGTTCTTCTCCCAGGCCCTTTTCCAATTTCTTTTGTATGTGCTACCATAATCTACCTTGTGTGTAGGTTCCTTACCTCAGTCAACAGTGTGGAACCCTTAGGAACACATCTCTGTGCTTTGTTTTGGAAAAAAAATTACATAAAACCCTTTTCTAAAAAAGTGACTTCTTGACTTCTTCGTGTTTTGAGCGACAGTAGAGCAGAGTGAAATCTGTACCTTCAGCATACACACTAATGTGTCGTAGGAGGATCAGCATAATTAAAAGGCAAGAGTGTGAAGCCACAGACTGAACACATTCTATCTAAAAAGCAAGACAGCATTTTAAGGCTTATTGTCATTCTGGGGAGTGGTGCTCAACAAACCATACCAGTTTCACTACACAGATTGCAGACAACAGTAAACAGCAGTCTACCTACATGGCACACATGCAGACAAACCAACTAGAAAATAACATGTTTACTATATGTGTTACTAGGAATCCAGGCAGAAACAGGCCTCCATAGGGGGAAACAGATTCACTTAAAATCAATACCTTATTCAGGCAGTGTTATCTGCGGTGCTTGCCACTACATGTTTATTAGCTAAAAATACCTTTGACTTGTCTTCGTCATCAAATACAGAGTCCTGTGCTCTTGGAGCAGGCGGTGGCATGACTATTTTGTCTGGTAACTTAGGATCCTTCTTTATAATGCCTGGGTGAGAGACACAAAATGCAAAGATTATTCATAGCACGTGATTCCTTTACTGAGCTTTAAACTATGTAAAAGTTAGCCTTTTCTTGTAGCTTAACTTCAAAAGTTTATCAGAGAGGTTTTTGGTATGTAAGAAGTTGAATGACATCAAAATCTATTTAGAAATAAACAGAAATAAATATACTTATGAATTTTCACTCATAGAGTTTTGCGTGGAGAACCCTCCATATTCAACATTATTTATTTGTGGATACTACAAGTATACAGTAAACATTCTTATTAGATAACCAGATAACCTTAACAGTATGAATGAGTGCATGAATTGAACTACTTTAACACCTGAACCATTCTTGACTGCAGTATCTGGGTTCTGAGAGACATTCAGGCTTAAACAGGACTTGCTGAAACTTTAGAAAGGACACTGCAACAGGAGGAAATCTCTCCCACAATCAAAAGGATAAGCTACTTCATTAAGTAAAGCAAATTTGATTAAACAGGAGACAAAAATCTGCTAATTAAATAACGTATTGTGCTCTACACACCTTGTTTCTTTAGCATGTGATAGGCCTCCTTCATTTTCACTTCATCAGGCAGCCACACGGTCCAGCCATATAAGACTTCTGCCACCCTGGACTTTACATTCTCTGCGCTGCACATTCCCAGATACTATCAGAGCAATGTACAAGAAGCGCCAAGAAAGAGAGAAAATATTTTAGCAAATGATAGATGAAAAGCAGGGATCCACAATCCACAATCCACAGTACGTAAAGTGCAGGAACACTTCAAGGATTTGCTTTGGGTTCAGGGATGATGTAGCCAAATGAGAAGGGCTCCTCATTATCCTGAATGTTGATTGAGTTTTGTTCTCCCAGCTGTAGAAGTTCAAGCTCAGCAAAACCACTTGTTTCTAGGGAGGAGTGGAGAAGACCGCTAAGTAATGATTCTTTTCTACTGGCCAAGCATCTTCAAGATTCCACTGGACACTGACACCGGAAACTGTATCAGTCCTCCAGCTGGCTCCTATGTCTCATTGTTCCTGTTCTGGATGTGAAATGTGCAGGGTGGAGTGACAGCAAAGGTCCTAAAGCAGAGATATTCACTCTTGGTCCACGAGGGCCGCAGTACACTAGATTTTATTCTGCAGCTAACTTAAAATTAGCAGTGAGTGAAGATCTGGACTTCACTCCTGGTCCCAGAAGCACTGAGTAATCCAGACCGATGAAGTGAACAATGGATTCCAATCAAGTCGTGAAGGATCCATGGCAGAATGAAAAACAGAAGACAGGGTGACCCTATAGGACCAGGAGTGAATATCAGTGTTGTAAATTTATGTTTTCTTGGTCCTATGTGATCACTAATGCACTAAAGAGGTGTTGTACAGAACAGCAGAAGCCAAATCAAAATTGGTTAAGGAACTGTAATTTTTTGTTCTTAAAAAAAATAAAACCACATCAAATGTAGCAGAATTGCAAGAATGAATTTTATAGTAATAGAAGGCACTGCTGATTCCCCCAAAAACCTTTAAAAAGATGGATGACAACAACTGTTCATGATCCAGTTCAAACAACAGCTGTATGTCTCTAATGTCACACTTTTAATTGATAGCTTTATTAGGACTTGCCAGCAAAACACTGATTATCCTACCTTTGGAGATAAAACTTTGATTAATTCATTCAGGAAACGGAACTTCCCAGCTTCATTGTGAAATCTCTTGCCACAGTTGTTCATGCAAGCCTCCAGCACCTAACAAGGATCGGAAATAAAATGGATTGGTTTGCACATAATTCATTACACGTATATCCTGACTCCCACATAAATACAAAGAATGAAATTGCAATGGCAAGGTAGAGCTTAGAAATTCTACTGAGTTGCTTTATGAAACCTAGTGATACCTAGAAGGAGTCTGTAAGAACAATTTTAAATAATTTATCTGTGACTTCCAGAAAAATCTCTTAGACTATATCTACTGCAGTGCTATTCCACATCTATAAAAGAGAAGACATATAAGCTTATTAGCTATGCACAAACTCTGGTGCAGGAGGTGACTTAGGTGAAGAAGAACATCGCCCATTATCTGCATTACGGAAAAAATAACTTTATTTACTCTTTAAACAGTTTCAGAGGTGAGGTTAGGTCTCAGAGAGTCTTTAAGCAAGAGACTATTATCTGTCTGTCTCATGTCAAGGAAGAATGTCCATCAAACAGTTCTGATTCTGCTCTGATTTCTGGTTAACAGTGGGCTGCTGGTAGGCATGGACTGTTATTAAAGAAACATTCCCATTTGCGCATCTCCCTGCTCTGCTCTGAAACCACAGATCAAAAAGATTCCTGTACTTCTGCACACTTGTATTTCTCTTCACTATTTATGCACTCTTCATGCATTTTTCATTTTGGAGAATGTAAAACCAACACAAAAACTATACTCTCGTACTGGCTATACTCTGGTAGACTTGTTAGAAAACCTTTCTATTTTATAAAATATTCTGTTTCACATTCAGCAACTGAAATTCCCTATTTAACCAGGAAGTAACATTAGTCCCTCAAACAAAAAAGCTTTGTCGCAGCCAATGATTTTGGGCACTGTAGTTGGAGAAAACATGTGGGTTTTTGTCCTTCATGATTTTCCTTTATGTAGTACAATATGACAGAGGTCACAATGAGGTGGAACATTGACAAGTATGATATTGTGAGACCTCATGTAGTGTAGTTTACTATACAGTACTATACAAATGCTATCTATTAGTAACGCCTAGTAAAAAACAGTACCTGAAAGCAATAATATGGGAGAGGGTTTTGAATGGACATGTACAATAATAAGGGACATACAGTAAACTAGTATATATAGAGCAACAATGCTACATTTATTTTAAAAGAACAGATAAAAAAGATTCCAGTATCTCGAAAGATTCCAGAGCATCCAATTCAGAGCTTTGGCTGGATAGCTTGTACCATATGCCTATAAACAAAAATTTTTGAATAGCCTATGCTTAACATAGTTAATTGCTGCTCTTAATTTTCTCTTGTGACCTCGGGAAGTAATACATACTGTTTCGTGTCTAGATTTTAAGTCTATGCTTAATGCCATAGTTTCAGAATAGCTTTCTTGAAGTTTGATTTCTTTGAAGAATATTTCATTTTTCAATTCAAACAGCATTCTATTTTTTAAGTTTCAAATTGTGTATATTGTTGTTTAATATATACAGAATATGTTGATTCAGTGTATCAAATTCTATTTCAGATTCAAAGTTTGATCAAATAAAAAATAATCATTAAAATGTTGTATGTTTGTGTTTTAGCAGTGATTGAAAACTAGCTTTTGTGCTTTTTTATCTGTTCTTTTAAAATAAATGTAGCATTGTTGCTCTATATATACTGAGTAAGCCATCTTTTTTCAGTTTTAAATACTTTTGTTTGGGTGTTCATTAGTTTTTTTGTGTCTTGTGTACTTGTATCACACTCATTTTGTCAGTTTACTGTATGTCCCTTATTATTGTACATGTCCATTCAAAACCCTCTCCCATATTATTGCTTTCAGGTACTGTGCACAACAAATTTCACCGTCAGGGCCTGCAGGGCTTCCTTCTCCTGAGGAGACTGAATCTTGTGAGCCAAAAGCCGAAGAGCAATCTGTGGCCTGTGAGAAGAGAACATGCTATTAATTGCAGTTTTGCTCATTTCAGCTTTTGTCAAAATGCTTTCAAACCCCCGTTAGACTTGCATCATACAACAAAGCACTAAGAAAAATGAGATGAGTTATAAATGCTGAAACGTATTCTTACCCTGTGTTACCCTTCTTACCCTAAACTTTACAGCCCTGCCTCAAAAAAAAAAAACCAAAGAGAAAGGGCCCTATCCCAACATTTCAAATAATAATAAAATAATTATAACAAAAATAAAGCCATTCAATTTTGAATCAGTTCTTAATACCATCCAGAGAAAAGCCTTTCAAAATGTTATGACGAGCAATAACATATAAGTATAGCAACCATTGGATTGATCTGAATTATTCTGATGTGACGTTTCTGATTAAGCACAAGAAGAATGACTTTCAATTTATCTTAGAACAATCTTGCCAAAATATCTTCTTTCTATTGTATACATTTGAAAGTACAGTAAGAGCACAGTGATCAATGTATTCAAGTCATGTCTACAGATGCTGTCTATCACATTGAATGAAGGTTGTAGTGAGCCAGAGCCTAGCTCTGAAGCACAGACAGCAAGGTGGGACAGGACCACTGACAGTGCCCCCCCCCCCATCTGGTTGGGATACCAGTTCATTTCAGGACCATGGAAAAAGAGACAATTTAGAGAGCCTATAAAGGCTTTATGGGACACATGCAAACTACATACTGATCATATTAGAACTACCTAATTATTTGGTGCTATTAAGTATCGGAAATCTGTAAAACTGTAGCTCTCTCAGGATTAGAAAAACAGATCCTGTATGATTCCCTGTTATTGCTTTAGACGTGATTGTCAAATCTGCTGTAAAAGGGGGAACATCAAAACAGATCACAAATAAAGCTTCACAGGATGCACAATGGGTCCCTTATTCAATGGAGTTCATAACAAAAGTTTGGGAGGAATGACAACAACCAAGTTCAATTAGACTCATCTATCAGTAATTTGTAATCACTCCTGGTGGCATTTCGTTACCTAAAACATTATAAATGCTGTATGTGTTTCCCTTCTCTCCCTCCCATATGTCTTTTTGCATCCCACCTCCACCTCTGCAACTGCCTTGGTCACTCCTAACTCTTCACGGGGGTCCCAGTCTCCTCATCCTATTAACATCAGGAGGTTAGCCCTCAGTTAAGCAGGTTGAGCCACATTTTTTACTAAACACTCCATAATCCTTTCAGTATAGCTAATTCTTAGATGTTGTTACTCCTAGTGAAAAATTCTTAAGTGCTTAAATCCCCTTTGCTTAAGTGTTTTGAATATAGAACAATTAATGCTCATGATAAATCATTTTCTGTGTGTTTGTGGCCCGTCTTGGTGCAGGTTTTACCAGTGTCATTTGTTCCTGTTGAAATAATATGTCACATGTTGACTAACATCTCTGTGCTCTTATCTCCTTTCCTGATCAATGAAGCTGCAACCACCAGTTATGTTCTTTGAGACTTTTGTAAACATGGAAAAGCAGAAGTCTCACATAAAACCTGTTTTAGGTTTTAGAAAACAGAGGAAATGATCAGGTGATCAGCAAACTGCTGTTGTTACAGAGCAACTGCCTTGCAGAGAGATCTTTCAGAAAATGTGGGGTGCCCTACATGAGGATGTCTGACAGACAGTATTTTTATAGCACAATGACTAAAGCACAGACAGCATTACAGTATACTGTACCTAAACACAGACTGAAAATTAAATCTAACAGTCATTTCAAGAAAACACAATACCTTTTAATGTCCTGTTATACTTGTGATGCATAAACACAGAAAAATGCACCAGTACTATTGCAGTAATATTGTTGCCATTACATATATTCTAGAGTTCACTATTGATTTTAACATGTGCTATAAGTAGTTGCTATCAGCAGGTGATTTATTGTTCTTTTACTGTATATACTCACCCTTCAAGTTCTTTGTTAATACTCTCATAAAATCCCTGTATACAGTCCCATCTCTCCCTCTCATTACTGGGGTTTGTTGCTTTATCTGGAAACAATAGAACACTCATGGTTTAAATTTATATGGGCACAGACTGGCATTCTAAATCAAGATTAGGCAAGTGTAGTTTATTTGTGGCTGGTACAAAATCTGTCATCTCTCAGACATCTTCCAGACCCCTTAATCCGCACAGTGCACTGCCAGGAGAACTAATCCGGCGAATCCAAAGATTGGCAATGTAACCCAGTGGATCCGCAATGCTGTTCAAGCTCAAGCCATACAGGCATGCTCTAGTGTCCTCCCCAAAAGCACTATGTCTCACAAACTAAAGCTTGTTACCTGACAGGTCTTTGTATTTTTTATAACATACCGCAGACGTGATGTCACCCCCTTAAAACCCATTCAATATGGAATTCTCCTATAGCAGAGGACCTGGGGTTTGAGTGTAGTAGGGTTCACTGCTGTCAAGGGTGTGCACGCTCATAACCCACCAGTGACTAAAGAACAGAGCAGAGCTGCACCAGTCACACTATCTAACAGAAACATTTGAAGCAACAGGGCACAAGATCATCTTATCTACTGTATGCTCAAAAGAAAAATGCCACAGTCATACATGATACTTTTTCTAAAAGCTTTACAAACAGTAGGTTACATTTTCACAGCAACAATACATGAAAATTTCTCATCACGACCAGGCTAAAGGTTAGGTTGAGTAACACCTACTTTACCTGCCTTCTCTACTTTACCAATTAGAGTTTAACAATTCACAAGTATTTTAAATACATTTTAAATACTCAAACTGTAAAAACTAAACAATATCGCAGCTTGAATGTAGAAATGTAAAAGATGTAAAAACTAAGCAGGGACTGATTTCATGCTCAAAAGAAAAACAACTTAACATTACAGTTGTGGTGCCTTGTTCCTAAAGAAGAATCCACAGCTGAAACATTGTGTTTTTTAAGCTTTATACTTTTCACAGTGGAACTGACCTCTACTTATTCCTACTCTACCTCTACTTAGCATCCTTATAGTCACCGTATTACACGGAACTGCTGTTGTATGGCTGAAGCGCTCTTTCATTTATTGCTTTTGCAGAGATCTCTCATTTTCCTGTGTTAACACGGAACAAAACTGCAGCCGGTACTGCAGCTGTGCAGTACTAACACCAATGAACATCCGTAACTGGCAGTAATTTCTCCCATTAACACAAAAAACATGTGCACAACGAAAACTTAAATAATTAGCATAGCGGCTGTCTTTGACTGAGTTAATTACACTGATCCTTAATGTATCAAATCGAGTTTAAGAGGTTTTCCGCTTAGCCTGACCCAAAAACTATCAACGCATGACGACGTTTAGCGCAACAGCAGAAGGCTCTGCTGTCTGCGGATACGAAGGGCTTTGCACAGACCCGTTTGAACACATGACAGCACCGTCTTTCTCTGAAACTTCCTGTTTTTGAAAATACACACTTTTTAATCTAAAGGTGATACTAGCGTTTGCAATGGCAATCTTTATATTATATTGTTATTGCGTGCTGTTATAAAATAAAATCAGTTTTAACACACCACAAATCTCAATTCAACAGCGTTAACACTATGAAATAAACTTACATTAAAGGCATTTATGAGATTGTACTGTCTCTATCTGAAAACATAAAAAAAGATACATTTGAGACTGTAAACGACAGTAGTGTTTAATTATAAATCTTCAGTTTTTAATTGTTGCTTTGACGTTTCCTAGCTGCATATTAATTTTTAAAAAGTTGGCATCGCACGTAAAACTGACATTACGAAACGACGGACAAAATGTGAGGTTTCTCCGAGCAGGGACGTGCTCCACACACAACCCTTTGTTTTCAGTCATGTTAAAACTTACTGAGCCAAGATTCTAAAGTTTCTCCCCCTTCATCAGCCGCCATGTCCCTCACAGACCACTGCTTACTGTGGACAAACCGTGCTGTACCTTTAATTCGGGCAGTGTCAGTTTGAACTCTAGAGACAGCCCGGAGGCACTTGACAGAACATGTGACGCTGAGTTCATACTTATCTACTTGGGAAGTACCGGAAAAGCATTTTTTTCATATAAAAAAAATCTTCGTTTGTTTGATGAAAGCTCTAATGGTTCTTCGCAATTTCTGTTGCTCGTAGGCATGAGGATGGATTTTTCACACCTGTGTTGTGATGATAATGTGTGCAACAGCAATTATTTTTTAAAAAGAAAACCGTTCCCTTGATGATCTTTAAAGTGTGTAAAAGACAATGATAAGACTATAAACGAGTCGCTTTCACACTGTTTTTGTCAGTTGTAAGTAGTGGGACAGGGTTTGAGTGTTAGACCACAGCGGGCATGTTTTTAAATTATGCAAATGACAACAAAAGACTCCAAAACTAACTAGGATTGCCCTAGCCACCCTCAGGATCTCCTAGTTCAGCTTCACTCATGGTCAGTCCAGGTCGGACAAATCAATGACAACATTAATCCAGTGGAACTCTTTTGAGTAAAACCGCACAATACAAACCAGAGGTCACAAGTGGAAACTGCTGTATGTGGAAGTGTATAAAAAACTAAGAATGTGAGGCACTTGTTTAACACAAAGGGTTTTGTAAGTGTGGAACAAGCTACCCAACACCATATAGTTTAAGCCAAGACCCTGTCATCCTTCAAGAAAGGGCTGGATGAGACCCTTAGCTCAATAATGTACTACCAAATGAGCTAAATGGGCCAAATGGCTTCCTCTCATTTCTTAACCATTCTTAAGACTTTTAAAAGCAACTGCCTATGGTCATATTCACCATTAAAATTGTTTCCTTAGCAGACTATATCAAAAGATTAGTGTCAAATGCCTTAATTCAGGTATTTGTAAAATACAAAATTATTCTGTTATGCTTTTGTGTTCATTAAATATTTCATTCAAAATCTCAACAGCAAAAAACTTCAGGGCTCAGCCCCTTAATACATGCTGGGCATTAAGACTGCAGCTTATTTGCAGATATTATGGCTGCAAATTCACTGTCAAGCTGACCTTCTACTGAATGTAGGTTTACATGCTTGAGTATGACTGCTGTAACTGGTAAAACAGACTAATGGCACACAGTTTTTGAAATACACAGAACTCAACCGCATTCATGAGCACAATCATGTTTTTCTCTATAGTGATTTGTTAACAAACAACACAATCTGCATTTATTTTCCTTACAATTTTTATTTAAATACAGAAACTGGAGAATTTACATCTATTTACATCTTGTTATAATAAAAAATAAATTCAAAAGGAAATATTTGCAAAGCCTTATATACAGTATTAAACCAAAGGTGATGCTGTTAATCCATCCATCCATTTTCTAACTGAACTCATTCAGTTCATCTAACATGGCAGGGCACTTACAGATACACACATAAAGACTCTTCCCAGAAGCCAATTAACGGACCAGTATGTTTTTGGACTGTGGGAGGAAACCAATGCAAATACTAATAGATGATATAGTCAGATACAAACTAGATACATACAGCCAGCATCCTAGTCCAGGGTCCCAACGCTGTGAGGCAGCAAAGCTAACCACTGTGCCACCCATGAAGATGTTAATATAAATTCATTTTTGATGATACATACCCTGTATTATAAAAAAAAATATAGTACAAATTGATTTTTAATTCACACATTAATTTAATTTCAAAATGTCTACAGGATTTATTAAAAACTTCATAATACAAATCCCTTACATTAGGAGTTCAGTGCTCTCTGTAAACGGTGGCACACTTCTTTTGGTCCCAGAGAGACCATCATTTCAGCAACACTTGGTCCTTGCTACAAAAACATGGAACAAAGTATTGGAGAATTTACTCTCATTTTACAAGGAAAAATATATACACAGATATTTACTGTATCACCAATATGAAATAATACATTTCTTTAATCCAAGACACAAAAAACAACTTTGTTTTCAACTGCTGTAGAAATCAGTAAAGCAGTGATTTCTCTAATGACAATCAAGCTTTTCCGACAATCATAACGAAACGTTTCATGCACCAAAACCAGTTCACTTGTTAATTAAATGTTGCCATGCTAAAAAAAAACTTTCCAATATAAAATAAAGCACTTTAAGTTAAGCGAACTTTTACTCACACAGCCTGCTATGCACCAACACACTATAAAGCTACTGTATTGACTCAAAAATGAGCTACATATATACAGTGCCCTCCAGAATTATTGGCACCCTTGGTAAAGATGAGAAAAAAGACTATGAAAATATGTATTTTGTGTATCAGCTTGATGTTACACTGAAAATATGAGAGAAATTTAACCTTTCAGAGAGGTAAAATTATTCAAAGAAAAAAATCCTTATATACAATAAACAGGGTTTAAGTCAGGGGACTGGGATGGCCACTGCAAAAACCTGATTATGTGGTTAGTGAAGAATTTTTGTGTGGATTTGGTGGTGTGCTTTGGATCATTGTCCTGGTGGAAGATTCAACCATGACCCAGTCTTGGCCTCCTGGTAAAGGCAGCCAGATTTTCATCTAAAATCTCCTGATATTTGATGGAGACCATGATGTCATGTATCCTAACAAGATTCCCAGGGCCTTTGGAAGAAAAACAGTCCCACAACATCACAGATCCACCACCATACTTCGCATTGGGGATTAGGTTATTTTCTGCAAGACCTTGATTCTTTTTACACCAAACCCACCTCTGGTGTTTGTTGCCAAAAAGCTCTATTTTTGTCTCATCTGACCATAGAACCCAGTTCCAATCAAAGTTCCAGTGATGTTTAGCGAACTGCAGTCGCTTACGTTTGCGTTTTGACGACAGCGGAGGCCTTAAAAAAGGTATAATATGAATGGGAATATATGTCAATTAGATTTTATTCATAGAAATTTCTAGGGGTGCCAATAATTGTGACGTGTTTTTGAGAAAAATATTTATTTTTTCATGTTTTTTTTCTTTTAATAATTTTACCACATCTTTACCAAGGGTGCCAATAATTCTGGAGGGCACTGTATTTAGATTACGTTTAAATATAATATATACAATTTCTTTTTAGTATGTTGTTGATACCTTTTTAATAAATGGTTCACCAAGACCTACACTAAAGATCAATTAATTAATAGAAGCACCATACGGAGGGTCACCACGGGGAGATAATCAATAGAACATGCTTTTAAAATTACCTTTTGTCCACTAAGTGCTAGTCGGAGAAACTTCATCATAGCGCTATATTTAGTTTCCTTTGTCCTTTTTTGCAATGCCTTCAATTCCAAGTTAAGGTGTTCCGGGCTAAAGTCTGCAGTCTGGTTCTGAATTAATCTGCCACAAAGCACAATACAGGAAACGTCACTGAACAGGATAGAAATGCAATAATACAGTAGAACTTAAAATTAACTGTGTGATAAAAGACCATCATTTTAATTTCTTCACACATGTTAATTTGAATAGAAGCCAGAAAAAACAATTTCTTCATAATCCCTAAAAATACATTGATCTGAAAACATTTGAATACTGTTTATAAGCATTGTGTTGTTTTTTTTTCCACACTTCCTATTATTTATGTAATGTTTCCATTTAAGTGACAAACGGTTTTTAAAAGGCCCAGTTCACCAGTTTATAATACAAAAGAAAGGAAAGTTCCTGGGACAAACCAATCAATACTTAATTGCCTAAAAGTGTACAAAATGACCAGCTAACTTTGTGGACTGGATTTCCTAATGCCCTGAGCAAACTGTTTCAGCTATTGACCTTATATTTTTGGATCCTAATGCTTCACTTAATAAAAATGTTATCTGTAGTGATGGAAGATTTCTAGAAATGGCACGACGTCACTGGAAGACCAAAATATCGCTCTGTCAGAAAGGAAAAGCAAGCAACAACTTTTAACCATCTCGTTCATTTTTTGTAATTTGCACCAGCAAATACACTCAGAATCATCAGAATCGATTTTGTAGTTAAATTCCAAATAACTTTCAATAAAGAAGTTAAAACCTTTTATCCTGGAGGATACAAATAGGCAAAGTTTTAACACTATGCATGTGATTTGTCATGACCCAATGGAAGCACGCCACACATTCACAATGAGGCCATATAACATTTTAATAATGACTGGCACTGTCAAACACTGACTGCTCCCTTCATACAACTGACCAATCTGAAAGAAGCCATTTGTTGAAAAAAGCCTAGATTACTGCATCAGGGTTTCATCTTGCTTCATGAGAATGCCAAGCCTGCCACTCCTCTGAATGTAAATGGCATTACAGATGGAAACTGTGGTGCCACCCACCTCACAGCCTGGATCTGATATTCACAAGTGAAGGCAAAGTCTTGGCTCCAGGAGCTTGTTAAGGATTTCTACCACGCTGGACTCAGTATGTTGGGGGTAATGGGACAAACACGTGGAAGCCATGTGGATCTCTATCATTGTTTTTGTACTGGCTATACATGTAGCATACTATGATGTGTGCATGAACACATTTCCACCTCGTTACTCTGATTATTAAAAAACTATTAAATAACTCAATAACAACTCTCATGCAATAGAATTATTGCAGGGTATAGCTCCGATTCCTGAAATTATAGCCTGTGCTCGGAATCTGCTTTCTCATTGTATACTTACTCCAGGATTAGTGTGATAATACTTTCAGCTTCCACAGAAATATCCTGTAACTGTTCTCGTGAAACACAGGGCCGCAGCCACAGGTAGGAGTATGAGGGAGACACCAGGTCTTGAATACAAGTTATGTGTCCCTGAAAAAAATATAGAACAAAAAATATTTAATTATATTTATTTCTGCATAAGAACATCACTGCTCAAACTATTCACAAAGGCCTCATAATACATATCACTCAGAACAAACACATCACACAGAACAGGCAAGCATTAGACTGGTTCAAAATCCTAAAACCATCTCACAGATTCTTTGGAGGAACAGAATGGCAATAAATTGTTTTATCACTCAAAAGTAGCTTCTGTCTAAATCTTATAAATGCGGAGCTCCTCCTAAACACATGAGGAGGTTTCTAAGTTATGACAAGTGTATTATTACTACTTATGTAAGATATGCTGTAGGTACTTTTATGGAGCCTTTAAAAAGATCATTTCTGAGGCCGTAATAGAAGCACAAATGAAAGTGCTTTGTTGCACAGACTTATGAAAATGAAGAGGTAACAGCAAAGATTGCAAATTGCTTCTCAGAGCATCCCTTCATCCATTTAAGAAAAACTTCTTTCAAACAATTAAAATGTACAGATTGCCCAATTTTCAACCAATGCAATATGTAGTGCAGAGTATATTAATATTAAAGTTTCATACATCTACTTAAACATTTTGATTTTTGTCAAAGTTGTCTTCAATTGTCTTTCCCTACAGAAGCAAAAGAAAACTAAAGGTCTGCATGTTTGAGAAGCCAAAACAAACTGTAGAATACTTAAAGGGCATCAGTGTAACTTTTTTATAATGAAGAGGCAATGCTGCTTTTTATCGTCTATTGTTAACTGTCGCTAAAACTACAGGGCTGGAAATGGTTCAAGAGCTCAAGAGCCTTTGTATTCACAATCAAGAGTCTTGGTACCAGTTATAACTACTGTGAAACTGTACTTCATTTTGGACTGAAAAACTGAAAAAGCAAATTCAGTACTGCTAGTATTGAATAGAAGAACTAAACTTTCTTAATGCTGTGTCCACATTTATGTGCTGCACTTAATTACAAAAAAACAGAAGCTAGCCTGTCAATCTCATGCTCATGATCTCATGATCTGTTCCCACATAGTAAGAAAAAAAATCATGAATTATAAAAACTACCACAGTACGTTGGAATGTTGTCTAAAAGCTAACACCACCAAAACAACTACATATTGCAAAGTAACTCTAACTCTGTCAGCCTTATGCACAAGGCCTACGTGTTGCTGACCACCTGACAAAAACTGCCCCCTGATTAATTTCAGTAGACCAAGATTCTTGCTTCATTTAACTTTTGTTGATGCCTCTAATTATTAGTCATTATCACTCTAAAGCCTCTTTTAATAAACAACCAAAAGAAAAAATATTATTTATTTGCACACAATTTCTTCAATGCATTATCAAGCATCAGCCCACTAACTTGCACAAGAGCCTAAGGCCCATAAAACTTTAAATGAATCAAAGTTCTAAGGAATGGGATATATTTCAGATACGCTCATATTTAGTGAAAATAAGTCAATCACCTAAATACTGAAACAAAGTTCAATTTTCAAAGACTCACATGCCTGATCTGTTCTGTATTTGTATGCCACGACCTACCGTAATTTAATTCTCATCTTAGTCTGTTATCATTTGTGTCCTGGTAATTGCCAGAAACATCCCATGACTTTGTAAATTAAATCCAGAAGAGTTCCAGAGAAGTTTTTCATTGTTATGAGGAATTCCCCAACAGCAGGGTACATTCTAAACCACTCTGTCACATTTGTAATCTTTTATCAGAAAAGAAACAAAAATCTTTCACACCACTTTCCAGTTAACTGAATAATCTAAAAATATTAAAGCAATACTTAATAATATATTATAACAACATATTAAAGCAAATAAAGGTTGTAAAAGGCTGTGCTGGAACTTTTCAGTATAAAATCACCATTTCCCTTTTGTCATACACAGCCACTGAACCATGCGACACAGCCCCCAGGCTTAATTTCTGCAAAATGCAATTTCTCTGTTGCAGGCTTGTCCCTTCCAGGCATCTTTCTTTCCTTTGTATATCTTGACCCAGAGCTTTTTTTACTGTGATCGAAGACCTGAAGGAATCCTCTGTTTAATTTTTTCAGAGTTTATATTTAAAAAAGTATAATTACAGTATGATTAAACACTAAAGACAACACGACAGATTTAAAAAAAACCTTTCGCAACTGAAGAATGCGCTCAATGTATTCACTATCCAAAACATCCTTATCATGTATCTGCTCGCCATATGCCTGCATTAAGTAACTCTGTAGATCTTTAACAAGCTTGTGTTGCTTGTCATCATCACTGATTCTCTGGAACAGATGAATCCTGCAGAGAAAAAGGGAGAAATTTGTGGTTAAAATCAATTGTGAATGACCTAAATTATGAGGTATGTATTCTTTTCTCTAATGTGATACTGTATCAAAGTGATCAGGAGTCATGTATTACAAATTTCATTTATACAGTATCACGCAAATGCCATAGACATTTTGCATTGATCTGATCTTTTCACTGTTTGTCCTTCATGCAGAAATAATTATCTGGTGATATAATGCAATTGTAGCCATTCAGTTTTAAGATAATTCTGATAGATCTATAATTTCTTTAGTACTAAGAATAACCTTTCATCTTTATGTATGTGTAGAAATAACTGACATTATTGATGGGTAACAAGAAATGTAGTGTCAGTTAGATCGGATTGGTTAATGTGATGGTTTAGCTTAAATAGGCTAAACACTTTATACAGGCTGCATGTGAATAGCTTACATTGAATTGTGATCAGAATTTTGAAGATTCTGTTAAATGTTCATTTACACACTACTGTGCAAAACTCATAGACATTCTACACTGATCTAATCTTCTCTCTCACTGTGTTGACTGTAATCTTTGATTAAATCAAGACTCCTAACTGACAAGCTTGGTTTTTTTTTATCCAAAAGTAAGATGTATTAATAACTGTCAAAGTATTTACACAAGTAGAAAATACTAGTGGAGACTTTTAGTAAACTGTTGATGGTCATGACACATAATGCCACCTATACTGTTATTCCTGACAATGTCAATTTCAAAGACTTCAGCAGAATGATGAAACAATCTCAGATACTTCTGGTAGTCCTCTATGAACACGAACAAGGTTTTAAAAGACCCTATATAAAACTTTTTTTGTTAAAAAGTGAATTAACTAATCCAAACGGTACACAAAAAGTGCAAGATAGCTAATTTAAATTTTAAGTCTCTGTAAAATGCATTATTAGTATTGAAAAACCAGATTACTAAATAAAATGTAGACAGTACTGTATGTACCTAAAACAAAGAACTCATGGTCAGATGGCATCTTGTTTTAAATTAATGTTATTCCTCTCGCCAGAGGGCTTGAGAGATTGAGGCAGCAGTGTGGTCACACTTTTTTCCATCAAAAGCAGAAAGTAAGTTCTGATTCTTCTTTAAGTATCTATCACTGTTGAAATTAGCAATGCATTCACAGCAATTCTCTTTTATAAACCATCCACACTGAAAATTAAATGGCGAAGTGTCTACTTTTAATAGCAGTAAAATATACTTGTCTAAATCCAATGATACCTGGATTGACACCTGAAGAAGGATCCACGGCCGAAACGTTGTGTTCTCTTTCTTCTTTTTTTTCAGCATGGAATAAACATATTACTTGTTCCTTTAAATCCAATGATGCTACTCAACATTGCCGTCTACTTATCTCCTTGTTAATTACATGAGCATGGTTATCAATTCACTTTTGGTTGAAGTTTGTACAGATTCTGCTGATGTAGATCAAGTAGGTAGCTGCATCAGCATACGTAGGCTACAAAGGAACAAGTAAAGGTTTATTCCATGCTGAAAAGAAAAAAAAAAAACACTGGTGTATTTGACACATACATTTGTCAAATACACCTGAAGAATGTTCCACAGCCAAAACAATGTTTCTTTTCTTCTCTTTTCAGCATGGAATAAAACTTTACAGATTCTGCTCATGTTGTCAATTTTTCTCACTAAATTTTAAATGAAAACATTAATAACATAAGCTCCTATTTGTACTCATCCCCTTTTTTAACCAAAATTGCTATCTATAGTTTGATTTGAATGCTCTTAAAAAAGAAAGACCTACGGTGGAACAGGAATGGAGGAACACTGGGCTATATTTGAATGTGCGCGCCAAATATACTGCAACCAACTGCTCTTTTCTCACCACTTTCCCAGATTTACAAGATCCACCCAATCATTGAATTTTGCTGTGGTATTGGGCCCTGTGCAATCTCAGTAAGGGCCTGTTTGGCACAAGGAGAAAAGTAAACATATAATAACTGAGCCCTGTGCTTGACTCCAGCCAATGTTTGTTGCCCCTTTCATATGTACAGTACATTTATAAACAATGTTATTGCATAGAAAGAATTTAACTGATACAATCAGTGTACATTTCTAAAGCAGAGAACTAAAGGAACTGAAAACTAGTAGCTTCCTCATCAATCCACACACCTATTAAATTCGGGAAGTTTCTCCAGATCCAGCAAAGCAGAATGGGTTGTTAGTTTTGTAGCATCAAATTCAGCAATCATTTCATCCAATGTTCTCCCCAGCCGATTTTCTGTAAAATCAGTAATAAGATGGATAAAAAAACTAAAAACTAAAGAAACTGCAAAGCTCTTTTAAGAAACTGTTTTGCTTTTCTAAAAGTATTACTACACCGCCTAGTGGCCAACCTGTAAGATGCAATTGGCTTCATTTTTAAGTTCAAAATTATACATTCTCCACTCCATTCCATACCATGTTACTTGCCACATATATATATAGTTATTAATATAACTAAATGTAATAATAATTGTATAACTGATTATGAATACTTACAATGCTTATAGATTGCATTCTATAAAAAGAAAAGCAGTTGAAAGGTGGCACGTTTCTTAATCTAACATATTTCTTGCTACAAATTCTGCATGAATTAAAAATGCAAAGTTGCGCAACTGAGAACTAAACCTTCTTCTCAAATCTGATTTTTTGTTGAATGTTTTTACTGCAGATTCTCAAGTAATAAAAATAATATATTCTACATCCAATGAAGAATAACATTTCACTACAGGCTAACTAGCATACCAAGGGTCACACTGTATAAAACTATGTGTCTTTCCTTTGTACAGATTACAGATCATAGAGAAAACAAAATGGACGTACGCACAAATCCCGATCCACAATTGGTGATCATGTCAAGCAGAGCCTCAGGTAAATACCCTAACTTGGCAAAATGCTCTATAAAGATATCGCCCTGCCGCTTGGAGAGCTTGCTACCATCTTTGTTCAGCAGCAGAGGCAGGTGTGCAAAAGAAGGTGGCTCCCAGTTAAAAGCCTTGTAGAGCAGCAGATGTTTGGATGTGGAGATGAGCCACTCTGTCCCTCTCAGAATGTGGGTGATCATCATGTGATGGTCGTCCACTACATTGGCCAAATGGTAGGTGGGGAAGCCATCCGTTTTCAGGATCACCGGATCCCCCTCCACGGCTGCTACCTCATGCCTATTCCACCCAAACACCATGTCCTGGAAGGGCTCCACTCCCTCCTGCAGGCGGAACCTGATCACGTGAGGCTGCTTCTGCATAAGCTTTTCCTTTACCTGATCCGGATCCAGGTGTCTGCACCTGTTATCATACCTAAAACAAATACAAGCTGTTACACGAGGCCTCCAATTATGCAGTCATTCCCAGCAGACCCACATGGATGCTACTAATATCCCATTCAGAATGTCCTGCTCTGATGTGCTCCTGTGCAAGGCAGTAGTACACACCCAGGCCTCATAGCTTCGCATCCCTGAGACCTAAAGAAACTCTTGGTCAATTTAAGGAATGCAATTCTTATGTTTTTGTTGATTTAAGGAGACTGATAAAACCTACTGTACTGTATTGCTTTCACAGCATCTGATATGCAATAAGCTACACTTACTTCTGTTTTGCTTCAGTTAAGTCAATGTAGCTTTGTACCATTTGATTAAATTAAAAAGATGTTGCTGGTGTCAGCTGTTCCAGCAAAAAACTGCACTTCAACTACCTATGCATGTTTGTATTGCGGATTTCTTCTTAAATAATATGCAGCGTCATTAATATAAATTCTTGTATATGAAGGGGGAAAATATATATTGACATCCATTTCAAATTGCAGAAATTGCAAATAAAACTGAAAACGAAATGCCCTTATGGGGGGTTATAAACTTTGTTCCCCATTTGTCTGCATTCATGAAAAATAAAAGGTCCAGTTACCATTTCCCAATTAAAGTATACAGTAGTTGTGGTATTTAGTAAGGAGATATCATACATATGTATACACATATGAGCAACATATGACAGACAAGAAAAATAGTGTCATATGGTGAGGGACTGTCTAAGAAGTGTTCACAGGTGCTTATTCTTACTGTGCAGCACCCAAATGTCAAAGGTAAATCACTCCAAACTGGTGGATTAAGGTGATCAGAGGCCCCTAGGCTACACATTGTGTAGACCCCCCTACCCATCGAATTACCAGAAAAAAGCGAGAGAAAATACTGTAATAATTCAGTGACGCGCTCAGAGTAAGAGCCTGCTACTGCCAATTCAAACGGAATATGATGTGGCACACACACTACTATAGCTTCTAATGTAGGTACAGCAATGCAACCAATAAATCGGATTCACAGCCAATCTACAAGCTGGCTTGTCATCATTATCGACGTTGTTGTGGTGTGCACCCAGCCTAGAGCTAGCTGCAGCTAACCTATCACCTATGGTTGTTGTAGCACTAGCTGCAATGTTAGCCATAGACCCAGGGTTGGGGTCTGGCTCAGGCTCACTGGATGACAATCAAGCAGACTTGAAATAATCAGTTAATTTGGGGATTTTTTTAAGATAAAGTAAGACAAGATCACTTTATTAGCCCTATACAATTTCTTGCATTAGGAATTAGTCTTTTCGTATACTCCAGCTTGCTTTCCAAGAGACACAGACAGGGAGAGAAGCTTGGAGTAAGAGCGCAGGGTCAGCCATTGTACAGCGCCCCTAGAGCAGTTGGGGTTAAGAGCCTTGCTCAGGAGTATGGAGTCCAACGGAGTAGGATTCCTCTGCGGCTGCGGGATTTGAACCAGCAACCTTCCAGCCACCAGCGCAGATCGTTAGCCACAGTGCCGCCCCTACGATCTTAAGTAGATCTTGCTTACGCTGCTCTTTTCACTGCCGTGCTTTTTGTTTTTGCGCCCCACTATTATATTGTAATGAATACGGACGTCATACAGTTTGTACGAGCCGGTTGCTGCGTGACGGCACTGCCCTCTACCCCACTGCACATAACAGGGATGTTGGCCGCCTGGGCTGACGAAGGTCTTACCTCAGCTGGCAATACCCCTGTTGAGCAACAGCAGAGACCCTGGTTCGAGCCCATGCAGTGAGGGGCGAACTGAGGCAGGAGCGGCGAGGGCACATGCCATAGAACCTGAACTCACTAGAATATCTTCTATCACACATGTTGATGCTAGCCACCGTAAACTTGTACCAGAGATGACACACTGAGTGATACAACAGTGATATAAAATCTGCAAAAATAAATTTGAACTACAAGCCCATTGCATCTAACCAATCATCAATCCACAAATTATTCACAAAAGTTTTTATGGACCAATGGGGGCGCAGAGGTCCATTACAAAAATAATCATAACAATAATTCTGGCCAATCAGGACCCCTGTTCAATCTTGGCCCTAGGCTACAGCCTATGACAGCCTGTTCGTTAATCTACTCCAGCCAACCTGCAAAGATAGAAAATAGAAAATAGAAAAAATAACTGCTGACTCCTCAAGTTTAAAAAAAAAAAACTGATCTGTTTCCACCACTTACCGTGGGGTCTGTCTGTTCCTGATGGCCTCCTTTTTCAACAGCTCCAACCGCTGAGGGCTGCAGAAGCAGTAATAGGCGGCTCCTTTTGCCACTAAGGCCTGTGCAGCCTCCTGATAGAGCTCCAGCCTCTGGGACTGCTGGTAAGGTCCGAATGGGCCTCCCTTATGTGGACTCTCATCAGGTGGTATCCCTGCCCAACACAGGACACACATGCTACTGCGTGGAACATCTAGGGGTAAAAGAGGGCTTTGACTAAACAGCACAACTGCAGCGTGTCTGTAATGCCAGACATGCATTACCTGCCCACTCCAGCATGTCCTCGATCCTGTCCGCTGCCTCAGGGACCAGTCTGCTTTGATCTGTGTCTTCCAGTCTCAGCACAAACCTGCCCCCATGCTTTTTAGCAAAGATGTAATTATAGAGAGCAGTGCGCAATCCTCCCAGGTGTAGGAAACCTGCAGCAGAAATTAAAGCTGATTGCGTCTGCATATGTCACACATAACCATAGCATGGGCTTAATTCTGTTTGCGTTTTCCATATGATGTAAGTATGCATATAACGGAACAATACGTACCACACTGCAGAGTGCAATTAAAATGAATGTAAGCAGCTTTATTTAAAGCATTTCACATACTCCAAAGTAATTAGTGGATTATAAACAGGAATAAAACATATAAACGAGGCTGAAGTTGGTTTCTTATTCGTATTTTTTTCATTCCACCTTATGTGTTATGTCGCCTTTCGCCTGTAAATGGTTCTCTTCGGTCAGTACTAATCCGGATGGAATACTGTAGACATCCTCAGTGAAAGGGAATATCCAAATAAATGGTGACTGTCCAAATTGTATTTTTGTATGGAATATATTGAAGAAAATCGCAAACCAATTTTAAAAACTCACAATAACACAAACTTACACTGGGAAAAGGTGATTGCACTTTCTGCTAATTACTATGGGCCCTCCCCAGATTATATAAACATCTCACAATTCAAAAACCGAGGTGTGGTGGATGCTGCACATTGGTGGTGGTGGAGGGGAGTCCCCATTACCTGTAAAGCGCTTTGAGTGGAGTGTCCAGAAAAAGCGCTATATAAGTGTAAGCAATTATTATTATTATTATTATTAATTAAAATATGACCCTCTGAACATGGCATGTGAGAAGACATTGGAAACGGTGATTGCACTTTCTGTTTATTTGCTATGGCCCTCCCTCCTGATTATAAAAATGTCTCAAAATTCTGACACTGAGGTGTGAGACACAATGTAACAGACTATGAAAATCATGAAGTGCAAGAAAATTGACTGTACCATTTTTTAAATATGACCATGTGAACATGGCATGTGAGGATTTATAGTCAACAAAATAGCACACCTTTTGCTGATTTGCTTTGTCCCTCCTTTCTCATTACCAAAACATGTTAATATTCCAACACTAAGGTAAGAGAGACAAAATCACTCATTATGTAAATTTGTAATTACAACATGACATGTTAAAGTATATAGAAAACTTAGATCAGGACAGGCTGATTGCAATTTGTCATTATCTTACTATCTGAATGAAAAATATTTTTTCAGTGATTATGACACTTCGGTATGACATTAAATATGCTTCAATGCCAGAATAAATAATCATGGAAAAAATGGCCACAGTGGACATTCATAGTTGTGTATATAGCAAAGAGGCAGCTTGTGACGTTTTACACACAGTTACAGCTGGACTACAAACGCAACACCCTAGCACTTTCATGGCTATCTCAGGGGACTTTAATCACATTTCTCTTTCTACTACCCTGCCTACTTTCCACTAGTTTGTTAACTGCTCTACTAGGTAAAATAAGACACTTGACTTACTGTATGCCAATGTTAAGGAAGCCTGTAGCTCTACTGCCCTTCCCCACTTTGGCAGATCAGATCACAACCTTGTCCTGCTTACACCACTATACAACCCCATTGTCCTTTGCCAACCTGTGACCATGGGGACTGTGAGGACCTGGTCTCAGGAGGCTATGGAGGATCTACGTGGTGGTCTGGATTCTACAAACTGGGATGTGCTGTGTGACCCGCACAGGGACAACAATGACAGCATGCTGGAGTGTGTTACTGACTACATCAACTTCATCTAACACCGCTCCTGTCAAAGAAGTACATTGCTCTCTCCAGTAATAAACCCTGGATCACCAGCGACCTGAAGGCTCTTCTGAATGACAAGAAGAGAGCCTTTAGGAGGGGAGACAGGCAGAAGGTTAAGCATGTACAAAGGGAACTAAAGCAGAAGTTAAGAGTAGGGACCTCCTACAGGAGGAAGGTAGAGGACAAGCTGCAAATGAATAGGATGATGGACGTATGGAGCGGTCTGAGAGAGATCACTGGCTTGAAGCAGACGTGGGGACTAATAGCGGGGAACCTAAAAATGGCCAATAAACTGAACCATTTCTTTAATAGGTTTGATGCAGGGCCCTTTGCGGCTCACCATTCATTCCCCGACAGCCACTAACCCCCGAAGCCCTCGTAGTTGCGATTGCCCTACACCTCCTCTATTCCCCCACAACCATTGCCACCTACAGCGTAACCCCCAGCCAGCCAGCCCCCATAACCAGCCCCCACAGCTGCCTGTCTCCAACACCACCTCCATTAGCACCAGCACTGCTATGAGCACCATCCCTCAGGCCATGCTAACCATCACAGTTGAACAGGTGAAGAGGCAGCTGAAGAGGGAGGTGGAAAAGCTCTAGAACCAAACGGCATCTGTCCCAGAGTCTTAAGGGCTTGTGCTGAGTTGAGTGGAGTTCTCCATGACCATGGAGAGGCTGGTCTTGGCCCACCTGAGACCCCTGGTTAGTTCATCCCTGGACCCCTTGCAGTTCACCTACCGGCCCCATGTTGCTGTGGATGATGCAATCATTTACATGCTACAAAGGACCTACTTCCACCTGGACAGAGCTGACAGCACTGTGAGGATCTTTTGTTTTATTTCTCCAGTGCCTTCAACACTATACAGTCAGTACTGCTAGGAATGAAACTGGAAGAGATGCAAGTGGGTACCTTCATGATCTCTTGGATTACTGACGGGCAGACCACAGTTTGTGAGACTTCAGAACTATGTGTCTGAACAGGTGGTGAGTAATACAGGGGTTTCTCAGGGGATGGTCCTTTCTCCATTCGTCTTCACCCTCTATACTTCCAACTTTAAGTAAAACTCGAAGTCATTCCATCTGCAGAAGTTCTCAGGACTCTGCAATTGTGGGATGTATTGAAGGTGGGCTGGAGACGGACTGCAGAGGAGTGGAATAGCTTTCTGGAGTGGTGTGGGGAGAACGACCTGCAGATCCTGGTGGCTAAGACCAAGGTGTTGGTGGTTGACTTCAGGTGGACGAAAGCCTAACCTACTCCTGTCTGTATACATGGGAGCGCCGTGGAGATGGTTAACTCGTACAAATACCTGGGTATCCACATTGATGACAGACTGGAATGGACCAACAATACTGAGGCCATTAACAGGAAGGGTCAGAGCCTACTTTTTAAGGAAGCTCAGGTCCACTACAATGTGTGTAGTGAGATGCATCTGATGTTCTACCAGTCTGTCAGAGCGAGTGCCATTTTTTATGCAGTGGTGTGCTGGGGCTTCGCGATTAGAGTGGGGGACACTAATTAGCTGAACAAGCTCATCAAGAAGGCAAGTTCTGTCATTGGATCTGACCTGGACTCTCTGGAGGTAGTAGCTGAGAGGAGAATGGTGTCCAAATGAATATCCATCATGGACAATGTCTCCCACTCCCTCCATGACATGCTTGTCGGAATGAAGAGCACATTCAGCTGTTCCTACCACGGTGTGACAGGGAGCATTACAGAAGATTATTTGTGCCTACTGCCATAAGACCTTACAACCCAACCACGTTATGTCTGGGCAGGGGCAACACTGACCTGTTGTGCTTTGTTTTACTGTTCTGTCTACATCTGGTTAATAGAAGTGCAATACATGGAAGTGGAAAGGCAATTTATTTATTATTCACAACTTTGCAATAGTTGCAGTAGTTACCTAGTCTGTGCAATATGCTTGAGAGTGTGTGAGATCAATACCGTGTATTACATCTTCCTGGTGTTCGGTATATTCATACTTTATTTTGTTTGTGCTTACACCCGAAGAAGGCTCCACAGCCGAAACGTTGCGTTTCCTTTCATCTCTTTTCAGTATGGAATAAATCTTTACTTGTTCCTTTGCAGCCTACGCATGCTGACGCAGCTACCCACCTGATATAAAAGATACCTATAATCACAACTATGAATGTCAACTGTGGGAATTTTTTCCATGATTATTTATTCTGGCATTGAAGCATATTTATGTCATACTGAAGTGTCATAATCACTGAGAAAATACATTTTTCATTCATAAAGTAAGACAATGACAAATCACTATGAACTGCAGTAAGCCTGTCCTGATCTAGGTTTTCTATATACATTAACATGTGTCCAGAATGTCACAATGCAGAAATGCAACAGTGAAGTGTTGTAAATACAAATGTACATGATGAGTGATTTTGTCTCTCGTACCTTATTGTCGGAATATTAACATGTTTTGGTAATGTGAAAGGAGGGACAAAGCAAATCAGCAAAAGGTGCGCTATTTTGTTGACTATAAATCCTCACATGCCATGTCCATAGGGTCATATTAAAAAATGGTACAGTAAATTTTCTTGTACTTCATGATTTTCATAGTCTGTTTCATAGTAAGAATTTTGAGACGTCTTTAAAATCAGGAGGGAGGGCCATAGCAATACAGCAAAAATTGCAATCACCATTTGCCAATGTCTTTTCACCAGCTGTGTTCAGAGGGTCGTATTTAAAAAACAGTACAGTAAGTTTTCTTGTACTTCAGGATTTTAAGAGTCATTTTTTATAATCAGGAGGGAGGGCCATAGCAAATAAGCAGAAAGTGCAATCACCATTTGAAAATGTATTCTCTCATGCCACGTTCAGAGGGTTTAGTGTGTCACATTGTCTCTCACACCTCGGCATCAGAATTGTGAGAGGATTTTATAATCAGGAGGGAGGGCCATAGCAATCATCAGAAAGTGCAAACAACTTTTCCCAATGCATTCTCTCATGCCATGTTCAGGGGGTCATATTTAAAAAATGGTACAGTAAAAATTCCCATACTGAAGAATTTTGAGAGTCTGTTATATTGTCTCTCACACCTCAGTGTCAGAACTGTGAGACGATTTTATAATCAGGAAGGAGGGCCATTGCAATACAGCAGAAAGTGCAATCAGTTTTTCCCAATGCATTCTCACTTGCCATGTTCAGAGGGTCATATTTAAAAACAAATGGTACAGTAAAATTATCTTTGGTTCAGGATTTTGATAGTCTGTTACATTGTCTCTCATATCTCAGTATCAGAATTTTGAGACGTTTTTATAACCAGGAGGTAGGTTCATAGCAATAAGCAGAAAGTGCGGTCACCCTTTGCTCATCCTCGGTTAATCATATATTCTCATATGCCATGTTCTAAATGTCCCATTTAATACATCTATATTAAAATGTCATGTAAAATGCAAGATTTTGAGAATTTTAATGATCAGAAGGCAAGGTCGTGGTAAATATGCAGAAAGTATCAGTAAATTCACGTTTTGCCTTTGTCTTTATCCGTTGTCTAACTTGCCAGTTTGTGTTATTGGGAGTTTTGAAAAATTGGTTTTCAATGATCCACGATTTCAACAAAAATGCAAACTTGACAATCACAATTTACCAGCAGCCATATCACCCTGCAACTCACAACTGGCAACCCACTGAAGCTAAGCAGGTGTGAGCCTGGTCAGTACCTGGATAGGAGACCTCCTGGGAAAAACTAAGGTTGCTGCTGGAAGAGGTGTTAGTGGGGCCAGCAGGGGGCGCTCACCCTGAGGTCAGTGTGGGTCCTAATGCCCCAGTATAGTGACGGGGACACTATACTGTAAACAAGTGCTGTCCTTTGGATGAGACGTAAAACCGAGGTCCTGAGTCTCCGTGGTCATTAAAAATCCCAGGGCGTTTCTCGAAAAGAGTAGGGGTGTAACCCTGGCGTCCTGGCCAAATTTCCCATTGGCCCTTACCAATCATGGCCTCCTAATAATCCCCATCTATGAATTGGCTTCATTACTCTGCCCTCCTCTCCACTGATGTGTAATGAGCGTTCTGGCGCACTATGGTTTATATTCCCCTTTCCTGAGGATATGTAGAGAAATCCATCCGGATTAGTACATTTAAAAAAAGACTGTAAAGAACCATCTACAGGCGAAAATGATATAACATCACAGTAACGTACAGGAACGAAAAACGCTAATAAGATTAGCCAACTTCAGCTTCGTAACATATAATACGTATTTTGTTGTTCTTGTTGCAAAATTCTCGTACCGTGGTTTCAGAAAAAATAATAAAAACACTGAACAACATCGGGGCAAATGTTATTACAATAATTTGACCTTGGATCTACACATTTTTGGAATTAACAATACAGCGTCACACATCCACTCGTTTACCTGTAGGACTTGGCGCAAACCGCACCCTCACGTCCCTGCTGTTGGTAGACAAAGACCTCGCGTAACCTCCAGCAGACCCTGCACTGTCGATTGCATCGCCTGCTTCACGCCGGGTTGAAGAGGCCTCGGATCCCAATCTTCTTCGGTGTTCTTTTGTCGTCCATATACCCTTCCCAGACCTCGCGCAAGTGCATAAATTGCAGCGTTTTAAAACTGAATAATAGCAAAGTGAACTGCAAAAACGCGTAATGTGTAAAAAAATGCTATATGGTAACATACTGTATTATCAATGTATTGCTGGCACACTCCTCCATGTGTTCAAGAAAATGTTGCATAAAGGTTGGTGAAGCTGTTGGAAGTTAATGGGTCCTGATGCTGTCAATCACAAATACTACCCGCCTCTTAAAGGTAACGTCACGGTAAAAGCGCATGTTAACACCACATCGTTCAGTAATATAATTTCATTCAACCTAGATTCAACACATCAAAACTAAATTAACATCTAGATTACAGAGTACAAAATACAGTTTGTAGAATCAAACATATATACCCTAATCCATTGGAGGGTATTTTCATTTATAGATTTAACATTTTATAGCCAGTAGCTGAAAAAGTTTGGGCAGGCCTGGTTAAATTGCATATTTCACTGAATCACTGAAGTGAAAAGATGTTAACACAACCTCTGATGGATACAAACTTAAACATGACACATTTCTGCACATTTTAATGCTCAATTTAACAGATTCTGTGAAATATGCAATTTATAATAATAATAATAATTGCTTACACTTATATAGCGCTTTTCTGGAAACTCCACTCAAAGCACTTTACAGGTAATGGGTACTCCCCTCCACCACCACCAATGTGCAGCATCCACCTGGATGATGCGACGGCAGCCATAGTGCGCCAAAACGCTCACCACACATCAGTTACATCACACATCAGTGGGGAGAAGACCAGAGTAATGAAGCCAATTCATAGATGGGGATTATTAGGCCATGATTGGTAAGGGCCAATGGGAAATTTGGCCAGGACACTGGGGTTATACCCCTACTCTTTTCGAGAAACGCCCTGGGATTTTTAATGACCACGGAGACTCAGGACCTCAGTTTTACATCTCATCCAAAGGACAGCGCCTGTTTATAGTATAGTGTCCCCGTCACTATACTAGGCCATTAGGACCCACACGGACTACAGGGTGAGCGCCCCCTGCTGGCCCCACTAACACCTCTTCCAGCACCAACCTTAGTTTTTCCCAGGAGGTCTCCTATCCAGGTACTGACCAGGCTCACACCTGCTTCGCTTCAGTGGGCTACCAGTTGTGAGTTGCAGGGTGATATGGCTGCTGGCAATGGGTGTCAAATTACAACACATACAACTGTATTTCACCTTGCAATTCACATCTGGCAACCCACTGACAATAAGCAGGTGCACACCTGGCAGGATGGGAGATGGATGGAAGACCTCCCGGGAAAGGTTGCTGCTGGAAGAGGCGTTAGTGAGGCAATTGGTGGTGGTGGAGGGGAGTCCCCATTACCTGTAAAGTGCTTTTAGATGAGTGTCCAGAAAAGTGCTTCATACTGTATACATTTTAAATACAGACAGGTATTAGAGTAGGTTTACAAAACACTCAAACACAGGAATGTATTTTTTATTTTACAAAATGTACAAAAGGAAATGTTAAATGGAAATATGGACTTTCCACTCTTGCACGTTTGACAATTCTGAATGACAGTCAAAACGGTTTATGTCCACTTTGTATAATGTTATCACATCTGAGCTAAATATATTAATAAAAAATATTCAGTTTCAAAAGTAAGCATGTAGTAAATGGGTTGTTAAAAAATGTAATAAATATCCATCATTATATTGTTTTTCTATAAAAAATTAGTGTGATTACACCTTAGTGTTTTTCCAAACTTTTTTATATTGGTTTATGAAAACATTTTCCATCTCTCCAATATAAAATTAAACAATTCAAATTTCCTGGGTGTACCAGAATTACAGAAAACTACTATCATTAATAAATATTGTGTATAAAACTTTAAAGATCAATAAATCAGTTGTCACTTCAGTGTTTGCCTGGTGACAGCCAGACAGTTCTTCGATAACATGTTTTTTCTAGGAACACTGGGAGCTCCATGGACTTTGTCTCGAATTTTCACAACCACTGAATTCAGATGGTGCAAATCGGTCAAGGGACCATGAAACTGAGAGGATCACTCGGATCCTCATCAGCAGCATGGGTAATTCATGGGTAATCACATGCACAACTGTTAGAACTTCACAGAATATGCAGGGGAACATGTATCACTTGCAGAGAGCACCAGTAAAAGTTACAGCATAGTCATGGTGTTCATGGAGCCAACGGTATTCCACACAAGTGACTTCTAGTAGCATCAGGTGAAAACTTGCATATACTATTTATAATAGCCAGAAGCCCCAGAGCTCAAACTGAAACCCAGGAACCAAGAATTGTAAGGCAGAAAATGGCACTGTGCTACTAATTGTTAGATATATAATCAACAACTATTTTGCCAAGTATATTCATACTGATCAAAACTTAAGACCATTGTCATGGTAGTCAGGAGACATTAAAAAGATGACTAGGTATTCATAGCACATAATGAGAATGACTGTAGACATTTAATTACATTCTAGGAAATAAAATCCACATACACAGCACTCAAATGAGACATTTCAACATATTGTAATAGCTTCTTAAAAGTTCTTGTATCATGATTGTTATTTCCAGATATCATTGTAGTGTAACGTTGAAGAATAATAATGGCATTTCATCAGGCTATTCCAGAATTATGCATTGATTTGTAAACATGATTGCCTTTTCTGGATTATCACACTTAGAAATACAAATACTGTAGATACTTTATTATCACTGAAAAGCACTTGATGTTCATTAAACATGATTATACCATGTGAAAAATTATGTCCTAGAAATTAAGATCTAAATTAGTTTACCTTTATTAGCTGTAGTACACTGAATAATAAAAAAGGACAAGTTACATTTTACATAGAGCTTACTATTAAAAAATGGTCCACCCTTCATGTACATGATTCCACTCCTTAAATTAATACTCCTGTAAATCTGCAGACATACCCTGTGTCTTCTCCACCAAGAAGAAGCACAGTGTTCCAGCAAAGCCCAAGATGACCATCAAGAGAAGCTGCCAGGAGAGCAGTAGGTAGTTGCTGTAGAAAAACGCTACTGCTGCACATACAGACTGTAAGAAACAAATGTTTATTAATATCATTTTTCAGAAGGCACAAACAAAACCAACATCTGTAAACTTTAACAACACAAATAAAGACACAAGAGTTAGAAGGGTTTTAGAAATTCTAATGTCTGTGATCTTGATGAACCTTGATAAATGCATTAAAAGACATTTCAGTACAACTCCACTAAATGCACTGGAATCTAAACTGAGCAATAGTCTCTGCAATAGATCCACCACATTGTGCAGATTAGAGGTACTGAAGCTGTAACGCACTGCAGGGTAACTAAGCAACTTTGCAACTAAGGGTAGCCCTGTAAATTAGCTACTACAAAAGTCAATATAATAGGAACTAGTAATAGGTTTATTCCATGCTGAAAAGAGAAGAAAGAAGACACAACATACAGCTGAAACGTTGTGTTTTCTTTCTTCTCTTTTCAGCATGGAAGATACCTATTACTAGTTCCTTTGCACCCTACGCATGCTGACACAGCTACCCACCTGAACTACGTCAATATAATAGTGCTGTTGTACATCAAATGTCTTGTTAAAAATACTGCATCTGTCCTGGACATGAGGGAAATAAAGCAAATTTCTATGTACAACAAAAGTTATTTAGGATTAGCAGTAGTAATAGACTATTAGGTACTCTTATTTTACTAGGTGAGCCAATTGATATATTCTCATTTACAATGATGACCTGGTGACCCATACACACTGGAGCTATTTAAGTGACGTATCTTGCTCAAGGGCACAACACAAATGTCTCACCCATATACCACTGATTATTAGTGCAGAACTCTAATCCCTACCCCTTGTTACTATCTGAGAACTGAGCTGCAGCACAGGTGCCAAGGAGTGTCAGTACATGACTGTATTCATTACCTGTATGAATTTGAAGATGGCAAATGCAGGAGAGCTTTGCTCAGCATACAAACACCCCAGGAGGCTGTATATCTGGGTATTGAAACAGCTATCTCCAAGCCCAAGTAAAAAACTGCACATCAAGGTAACAGGCACACTATAGAAAAGCAATCAAAAATTACCTTGGGAGAAACATCATCGATAATGGTTCAGTTTTAAAATGAGAATGATTACAATTCAGGGTATGAAACAAAACAGTTTAATGAGAATGAATCATACCTGGGGGTGAGGTAGGGTTCAAGCACAGTGACAGATTCAAAGACAATTGGGGCATCATCAGGGATGTTAAGGAAAATTAAATAAAATGAGATAAAATGCACCATCATTCCCAGGAAAACAACAGAGGTACGTCTGAACCGGCTGTTCTTACACAAAAGCCCAAATAAGCCACCACCTGAAAATAACAATAGATTTATGAACCAACTTTCAAAACAAAGTGCTTGACTCATGTGATCGTGCCTAGAACTGGAATGGATGTGGTCACCAATATTCTCACATGGAGAAGTAATTAATTCCTCATAACAGTGTTGTCAGCTGTTTTCTTTAAATGATTAGTAAGAGAAGGCTCAATCAGATAACTATTACTATCAGGAAGACGGACACTTCCTATATATTCTAATTTCAATTAACTAGTTAGTGCAGTAACAAAGATAGTGTGCAGTCTCCTGCTCCCTTGCCAGTAACCTAATATACTGTACCTACCGACAATCTCTCCGATTCCCACCAATATTCCAGAGAGCCCTATTAGGCCTTTGGCTGAAGTTCCAAATTGTGCTGTTGCTCCTATGCAGGTCCCATACACGCCACTATAAAATGTCAGTTCCAGGCCTACAAAATGATCAGATATAGAATATTGTACTGAAGATATCACTGAATTAGCAAGGCCTTTCAAAATTACTCAGTGAGTAAAAGAAACTGAAAAAAGAACATATAGGATTTTTGTGAAATGTCTTAACATAGTAATATTGCAGCTTTTCCAAAAGTGCAGTTTGTGGGCTTAAATTAAGTATTGTTGTTTTGCTTTAATAATGCTGTTTTTAGATATTTACAGTACTTACCACTGTAAGCCATACAGAAACTTAGAAGAAATATGGTCTTAGTGCCAAACATGTTTATCATTGTTCCTAAAAAATCAAAAACCACATTACAGTCAACATACTAGTGTATCAACATGGTATGAACCAACACAAGGAAACATTGCAGTCAAGGAAATCCCGAAAATACTAATACAAACTAGGTAAAATCTTAACTGTTAATATTTATGATGGATAAGTGCAGGGTGCCACACACAGGTAACAGAATAAAATACAAATAACATCTGTGAAACCCTAACCCTGAAGAAGCAACCTATGAAAAAGACTGTTCCTTAAGTTGATACAGTACATACAGTACACAGCATGCTATAACAAAGGTAACAGTTTGCTTAATTGGGATCTAGTAAAGACTCTGAAACTGATAATAGGAAGGAAGAGATTAGAAAATAAACATAGACAGCAAAGAGTCATGAATGTAATGTTAATATTCTATTTATTTTTTATGACTTTGTCTCCACAAAATCTTGACAAACTGGTGCAGTTTAAAGTTGTACTTACTGAACTCTGTTGTGGCCTCTCTAACAGCAGAAAGTGCTCTTTGCTTGTAACTGTAGGAAAAGGAACAGTAACTTAAACTTAGCCAGCAGCCATATCACCCTGCAACTCACAACTGGCAACCCACTGAAACTAAGCAGGTGTGAGCCTGGTCAGTACCTGGATGGGAGACCTCCTGGGAAAAACTAAGGTTGCTGCTGGAAGAGGTGCTAGTGGGGCCAGCAGGGGGCGCTCACCCTGCGGTCCATGTGGGTCCTAATGCCCCAGTATAGTGACGGGGACACTATACTATAAACAGGCGCTGTTCTTCGGATGAGATGTAAAACCGAGGTCCTGACTCTCTGTGGCCATTAAAAATCCCAGGGTGTTTCTCGAAAAGAGTAGGGGTGTCCGGGCCAAATTTCCCCATTGGCCCTTACCAATCATGGTAAGAGCATTACTCTGCTCTCCTCCCCACTACTAGCTGATCTGTGGTGAGCGTTCTGGCGCATCCAGGTGGATGCTGCACATTGGTAGTGAAGGGGAGTCCCCATTACCTGTAAAGCGCTTTGAGTGGAGTGTCCAGAAAAGCAATTATTATTATTAAACATTAGTCAAAACCACTCAAGGGTAATGAAATCTTAGTAGTACTGTGAAGTCAGGTTTAATCAATCTGCATCAGAGCCCCTGTTTCGCTCTAACAGTAGAATTTCAGAATTACTGAAATCTAGTGTCCCATGAATGTGTCCTGGAAGAAAGCTGTACAAAGTTAAATAAAATAAAAGAGATAAAATCCCATATGTATTTACATCATGCTTGCTGGAAGCAAGGAATCATTTTCTTCATTTGGGGCTTCATCTGGATCACAGTTCTTTCTCAGAACAATAAAGCTCAGTGTTCCCAGCAAAGAAAGGACCAACAGAACAACAAACACAGTCATTCTGTCTTTATCTGCAAAGACAAACAGCAATGTGAAAAAATAGGACTATTGGATGAGTTTTGCAAAACACTGTATCACAATATAATTTAAAGTAAAAGGGTATTTCACAACAGATACACAGCAGTTCATTGAGCCAGAGCACATCCTGGTTTCTGTAGCATTAAGAGGACTAGAGAACATGTGACTTTCCTCCTAAGATGGAACACAGATCCATCACAAGGAGTACTTCCCAGCACTGCTGGTTCCTATTGATACAGCTGGAGCAATTAGAGCAAATTCAAGGGTCAAGGGTAAAACATCTCAGTCAAGGGTACAACATCAGTGTCTGCAGAGATCTTGAACCCACGACCTGTTAGTTATGATCCAAAAGGTGTACGTATACTATGCCACCCACACTGAATGCATGAAATTTAGAGCTATGGTCTGTCTGTGTGGCTGCTGATAATAAGATTAGCACCTGTACTTTATTGACAATGCATACATACAGTAGGTACTACTCTTTTACCTGCAAGGTGCAAAAAACATTTAACAAAAGAGAAAAAAGACAGGGTTAACTTCTCACTTCTAGCTAAGGGAAACTTGTTGTCATGAAATAATCCTACAGGCTTCATAGCAGACATTAAGGCAAAGAGCCTTACCTGTTACTGTAATTTTTCCATTCCAATCGAAATAAATATATAGATTGCCGAACAGCATACTGGAATTGAGAAACATATGCTCAGTCTTAAAAACTAACATAGAAAAAGTTCTCAATAGCAGGTAGCAATGTCTGTATTCTCTTAAGCATATATTCTTAAGCATAAACTATTTAAACTATTATATAAAGCTTAACCTTTATATAATTATGAAAAATCAATTGGATAACTCCAAAAACTGTATCAGCTTGCTACACTACTTTTCCTCTACCTTTCCTGAAAGAAAAAGCACAGCATATGAACAGTTACTGAACTGGATTTACATTTCAAAGGCTATAACCTGTGTCTGTAATAGTAACAATGTTCCAAGGCTTACCTGCACTGCAGGAGAGCCCAAAATAGCCCAGTATTCTTGTTGATAGTGGAGGCATCAGAGTTCAATACCAGGAAATTTCCCTGAGCTGTCCACAACACTGTCAAAACACAAAAGCAGTCATAGCCCAACTTAACTTGTAAGAAATATGCGTCCACAGACTCCGTAACTAGTAGGACCATGTGAAAGGATGTCTCAGTTCAACACAGTCCTATTTTTTGGACAGGGGCTATCTTTTCAAATTTGGGGTATCCTGAGTGAAGATGACAAAAATGTGTCATTTTCAAATTTGGGTGTGTATACCCTGCAATTCAAAATTGTGAAAAACAAATCATCACCAATGTAACTGTTCATGTCAAAAGGCCTGAACAGCTGTGATATTATGGATACAGCCGTGAGAAACATCACATTCCCTCAGGTCACAACTAACTGTGTTAGGACTGATTGGGTTTGCGCTGTAAATCAAGGATTTTAAAACGTAGAGGTGTTAATCTGAAATGGATTTTGACTATTTTTAACACTGGATTAGAAATTGAATACCCTTATAATACCCTTATACCCTTGAATACAACTTCTTGTTCCCTCCTCCACGATCTCTCACATATTTATTGCCATGTTCTGGTTCTCCAAAGTGATTAATTTATACACCAATTAGCAAATAAGCATCATATTCTAGAGCCAGCTACAGAAATTAGAACGGTGTCATGATATTAAACATGAAGCGGCTTACTGGACAAATTAAACAAATCAATGACAGTGCAGGTATGGATAGCATTTGCAACAAAATGGCAAAGTTAATATGGTTTAGCTTGGTAAATGTTTACTTTTTCACCATTTGTTACAATACTATTTTTTTCTCCCGTTTATACTGTGTGTTTATAAAAGATATGAAGATATTTTAATAAATTTGATAACATTATGTGGGTCAATATGTCCATAGACAAAGGTATTGATAATGGTTCTGATTACAAGGTCTCCATATCACCTTTCAATCACCTGACTTCGAAGTACCTGGCTCTCATCTCTGGCAAGCTGTCTAGATTGCCGTTAGCATGGCCTCGTATTTTCATCTTCTGTAAAATGTGTACAACAAAGATCAGCATTAAGATTTCAAAACAATTATTATTCCAGTCCCACTCTAGACTACTGAATGGATGATTTGGCTGTTGAAAGTCACATTTCTAAATGATGACCAAAAGATGCACTGTGTAAAGGTGTGATGTTATGAAATAGCAGCACATTGCTGTCAGCACTGATAGTTTACTGCAATGGAACAATTAAAGGTTTATTCCATTATATCCTGTGTTGCCATCTTATCTTTCTTGCTGCAATGATCCACTAATACTAAGGCAGATAATTATGTCATCCATGATGACATCAAGAGGGTATCCAGATTCCAGAACATCTTCAGTGGATACACACTCACACTAAAGAGCAGCTGACCACTTCCATTATCTAACACAATATGCAGGTTTTCCTCTTTCTTGAGTGGGATTCATCTTGGGATTCCCTCTACTGGATGTGCCAAGATGCTAAACATTTTTTGTTGTGAAGAAATAATATTTGAATTGAGCCAGGTAATTGATAACTATGATTAAGTTAAATAACTTATTCTATGAACACATTGACCACCTGTTTGTGTGCATATAAATATAAATACTAAAACGTTAAATACTTTAAATACTATATTTTTAAGTACAGTATATATAAATATGTACACCACATCTGCAGTATGTGTGTACTGTATATGTTGTATAAATATGACAGATAAAATATTTTGAATTTTAAAAATTGAAACTGCTCAAATTACCAAGCTTATACAATTTGTGTATGTGCAGGTTAAATGAATATTTAGATAAAATGTACCGAATTCTAATTATTTGAAGATTATTACATTCTGTTTCTTGCTATACAGTTTGCCAGCATATTCCACCTACCTGTTTAGTTGACACCCTGTAATCTGAAAACAAACACATTTTAAAGTATGCACTGAATTTCATAAACCACTACAACAGAAACAGATTAATTTGCTCCTCTAACAAAAGATTTTTTCACCAATACGTGAATTAATTTATCCATAAGTCATCTAACTATAACATAATTTTTGTAAGTTCCTTACATAAAACATAAATCAAATTAATAATTAGTTAATAAACCTAGCCAGTATGTCTTTGGAGAGTGGGAGAAAACTGGAGCACATGGAGAAATGATGGAAATGAAACACAGTTTCAACAACAGAACATGACCCAGAGAAAATGCATTTAAAACTAACAACAGGAGGGACTTCTTCCATAACAGGCTCAGGCTATGGGAGCATGGGAAAAGCTCATGTCGTTAAAACCAGTCCCCTAGCTTCTTTCAGGGAACGGCTGCATGAGATCCTCAGGTGAAATAACCTCTAGCTATCAAACAAGTGAGATGGGTCATTTGGCCTCTTCCTGTTTATAACCTTTCTTAAGTTCTTATGACAGTCATCTGTGAGAGGAATCAAAACGTGGATCCTGCAGCTTCAGGGAGCAAGGAAGTTAACAATAATTATAAATTTCTCATTTCACAAATAACAAGTTGTTGCTGCCAGAATTTATCAGTTATTCATTAAAAGCAGGTATCACACACCAGGAAACAACACTGTAACCTTTGACCAGCAAGGGATTTCTTGCCAAGAAAACTCCAATACATAGTCCATAAAAGCTTAAAGCTTTTCCATTAAACCTCGGTATGTTTAAAAACAAACATTTTGCATTACCAATGCTCTTGCTTTATTGTTTTAGCTTTATATAACATAATGTAAATAAAATAAAATGCAATTTTAAGATACAGTATTTGAATAATTTCATTTCTAGAAGACACAATGACTACAATACCTTCCATTGTACTTTGATGTATTTAGACAAGATTTATAAATATTACCAGAAGACATTTAACCCACATGACTTTGATTTCCATTAAATTAAATGTTGGCTAGCTTTGCAATACGAAATGGGAACAGAATAGAAGACTATTAAAGAAATATTAGTCCACATTGTGTGGCTTCCTTCCCTCCAAAACCTAAACATCAGTTCTGTAAAATAATACTGGGTCAAAAAAAATGTAAGTGACAGAATGAATAACACAGATGTTAAACAGTTGTTTACTTACTAGCTGCAGCCACACCGATGAGAAACGAAGTCAAGTAAAAAGACCATGTTGCAGGAAGGATGAATGCAGCAATATACCCACTGTAGGGAATAAAAAAACTGAACACTGATTTATCAGTGCATGAGTCTACTAAACAGCATCATTTTTTACAAACCTGACTTCTGTCTTCATTTCTGTTCATCCACCTGCTTTCTGGTAACTGGCCTATATTACTCCCAGTGCAATGTGCAGATAACACAGATAATTAATCAAATTCAAGCTATACATATTATAAAACATTAAGTCAGAGCAAACCAATAACTTGTGTCATATGGTCAACCTCAAGGCCCAACTTCATCAATTATTATTCTGGCTGTGAAAATATGTGCTTTCACTCCAGCACAGTGCAGAGCTGTGTACTGCACACACTGGCCCTGTAGAAATGGGTTGCTTGTTGTTCTTTTTGGAGGGTATGGCATTTTGAGACAATTACTATTTTCAAAGACACTGACCTGTACAATAGTCCACTAAGCATCATCGTCAGTTTAGGTCCAATTACTGCAATGACCGAGGGAGCTATAAAATTAGAAGCTGCAAAAACTCCGTAGATAATAGCAAAACTACAAGGAGAGAAGATAACAAGGCTTATTAGTCAGGCTATTCACCCCTAATTTTACAGTGTCTACCTTCAAAATAAATTAAAAACAAGCGTGAGTCTTGCCTTACCTGTTGTAACCACTGCCCTCAAACGTAGTGTTGGCCAAACTCTTAATAACTGTTTGCTAAAAATAAAAGCTTAAAATAAATCAAAGAAGAACAAAAGTTTTCTCCTTAAAAATTACAAATTCTACATGCTCTAAATGTCACACAATGGAATTAAAAGTTTCATTATGATGCTGTAATTTTGAGAATATGAAGATAACATGCTTTAACATTTCAAATGCAGCTATGTTTTGAACTGAAAAACCTGTGGCTGGATATATGCAAAACTAGGCTCTTGACACTGGCATGTCTTTGTGAAGAATTGATCTACAGTATGTGGAGAAAAGTTAAAAGTGTGTAATAAGATACCAAAAGAACATGGGGCAATGTGAGGAACAAAGGTCCCATTATTTGGCTTAAATCACATGCTGTATTTAATGCCTTAAGCAGGAGACGCCGAGTTTATATTTCTGCAAGAAACCAAGTAGCAAATTAGATATCTTTAACTGCTTCACTTCGATTACTAAAAAAGCAAATGCAAGTTTACATCGGAAGATTTTAAGGACCTTATTATACATTACAGTTTACCGCCGTCGCCTAATTAAAGAAAGATGACAAACATTTGCCATTTCAAAATAGAGTATACTGTAACTGTAGACTGAGTAAAGCGATCAAAATTTGAACTATTACGAAAACATTTAATTTTCATGTTATTTAAATGTAGTCCCGAAACTCAAAAGCTCTCATTATATGTGATACAAACCCCAATACTTACTATAAGCATATAATCAATACAGTACATATGTTTTGTTTAAAGCTATCTAGGTAACTTTACGACTCCAGTAAAACGCTCGTAATGTCTTTAATAAGAAATCACGACTTACTTCAATGTTTCCACAAGTCGTAAAAGCAGTAAATATCAGCAGAAATCCTATTCCAAGAATGACAACATTAAAGGTCCTGAAGTCTGCCATAGTGGAAGTTTAAAAATATGTTAAAAGCAAGATTAATCTTCAATTTAAATTAAATAACAGTATTTTTAATGCAGAAAAGATCCGTCCTCGGATCTGCTTGTCATCGTTCCTTCATGTGGATACGCCAGCGTAGTTTTACTGCCGTATTCTGACAACAATCTGCGCCACCTGGACAAGATGAGGCGTACTGTATGTGTTATGGGGAATAGCACACTTGGACAGTTCATCCCTCTTTACCCCGCCTCTCCTTTCTTAAAACGACAGTGCGCTTCTAATTCACGTGTTGGACAGGGAGCTGTAGTTGACCAATCGAAAAGAAAGCCATTTATTTTACACTATTTTCAAGTTTAAAGGTGCACACTAACCAATACAAGAGATGTTGTCAGTACATCTTTGACAAACAGACATGCTTATAAGATTGTAATACTAACAAATATACATCTTGAAAGCATTGCGTTGATTAAAAAATGTATAGAACTGCATCGTCATCGACTTCATAAAGCCTTTTTTATAATGTGCTTCTCTCCTTTATTAAATTATTGTTACAGCAACATGCACATATCGAACAAAATCAAACGCAATACTCTTAATCGTTGTTTTCGAGACGAATGCTTTGTTGTTGTAAATACACTGAAGAACAGTGAGTGATTTCTGAACTTTTAAAAGCAGCGCCGGGTTGCTACGGAAGCCCGTCAGCTCGAGCTGGAGAGGCACGCAGGTTTCCCAGCAGGCTCGCCGCGTTATTGTACACAATCATCATGGCGTCGCAGGATGGTGGGTACAGAGAGAATATGGATTTTTATACCGTTACAACAACCATAGCGGTTTCCTGCTTTTATTTGACATACGCGTAACGTTGTATAACTTATACCGATTAACCTGATGGGTGTGTAGCCAGCCAATCGTTTATCATGATAATTTTGGAGGCGATGTAACACTCTGTGGTCGCTTACGTTACAGAGCAGAAGGGGGTTATGTAAGTTTTTCATTAAAAAACAAAAAAGAAAAAAAGAAACCACGGTCTCTCTCTATATCTTTCGAGGTGAAAATATGTAGGTTGGACAGTTTGTCATGTCCTGTTGGTGTCATGTTGGAATGTTTTGTTTGAAAATCATGAGATTGATTTGAACAGGGTGCAGCTGTCATTGCTAAATGCAAGTGATACAAAAATACCCTTGTTAGTCATCGTAGCCCAAAGCCAGGCTGGCGGTGTTAATGAAACTGCAGTTTCTTTAGGTTAACCAAGAGTTATACATTCAGTCATACAGTAAATAAGTTTGTAATTTCAATGCAGTATGACTTATTTTCTTAAAGGGGCAGGCAGTTACATGCGTCCAATATTGGGCTGGTTTTGATATGTTGTTTTTTAATTCTAACTTTGTGTAAAAGTTTACGCTTGGCAATACTGTCCAGGTGATGGAGGACACGCAAAAAGCGACGCCTCGCAGAAAAGACGAATTTTTCTCCGAAGTTGTGAGTGAAAAGGCGTATATAATATGTAGTTTTACGTTTTACGTATAACTGACAGGGAGGAGTATCAGTGCATATCAGTATCAACACGTTACATACATGGAGCGAGTAAACTAGTGTTTTAAAATCCTTGTGAATGAGTCTGCAGTACTGCTTAAGTTCAAGTTTAACTGCGGAAGCAGCAATGCAGTGCAGCTCTGTTCTTAGTTAAATGCTCATGTTTCTCTTTGCGTTAAAGGGGGTGAAAGTATGATGCAAACTGGTGCCAGTCCCAAGAAGGAGCCGGTGGCGTACGGAAAAGCCGGTGACGGGGATGCCGAGGCCGCTGAACAAGCATCGCAATCATATGGGGAAAACTCCACAGCTCAGGTCTCTGCCGTCAGCAACGGGAGCGACAACGATGATGGGAAAGAAATGGTAGAGTTGAAAATTATCTGGAACAAGAACAAGTACGATTTAAAAATTCCCCTCGATGGCACTGGAGCCAGTCTAAAAGAGAGAATTCACTCGCTTACAGGTAAGCATTCCTCTACAAAAAGTCCTGTAGTATAGGTTTATGGTCAAAGATGTTATTTTGACAACAACTGCGGGGTGAATTTTTGAGGCTGTTACTGTATGCTGCATTTCTTTTCACATTAAATATTTTGAGTAAAGATGAAGGTTAAAAGATACACATTTACATCTGCTTGATAATTTATCACCCTCAGTTATTACCAGTCTCCTCTCCAGTGACTTACCCTTCAAAACTTTTTTTTTGTTTTTCTGATTGGTTGCAGCTGTTTGGTTGTACTGTAATATTGCAGTCTGTCAGCTTCAGATTGTTCAAGGAGCTTCCTTTTTAATGTGTGTTTATGAATTATTTTGTCTAATAGTGATTTGAGTTAAGAATCCCAAGTTAGTGCATGAAGTTCAGTACACCTTTTTTTTAAATGGTGTTTGTTTGTCTCTGTAGGTCTTCCCCCTGCTATGCAAAAAGTGATGTATAAAGGACTGCTGCCAGAAGACAAGACCCTGCGTGAAATTAAAGTAACAAATGGTGCAAAAATAATGGTAGTAGGATCTACCATAAATGATGTTTTAGCAGTGAATACACCTAAGGAAGTCATTCAGCAAGATGTAAAAGCAGAGGAAAATAAAAAGGAACCTTTGTGTCGGCAAAAGGTGAGTTTTTATTAAACAGCATCTCATTACGTAAGGGGCTGAACCTTATTGGGTGGAAAAATAGTACAATTTAGTTTTTTTTGCACAGCTGTTTGGTCCATTTCAGGCTTTTCAAGCTGCATGTGTACTGATAGTAATGAAAATACTTGATGTCTTTATTCAAGCATTAAAGCAATGTAGAACATCATAAATACAAAATAAGTTGATGTACAGTACTACTAAAACATTGCATGATGCACAAATTGGAGTAGAATAGTATACAAAGATGTGGATATGGAGAATAGTATAGTCTTTAAATGCACGGTGTTCAGTAAGTGAAGAAAACAATGCAAAATACAAGACGCATAAGTTAAAGCACTATCATACGATCTCAAGGTGCTGTCTGATCTGGTAGGCCTTGATCTTGAACTTTTTAGTAGTGAAAGATCTGTAGACAAACTCTAACCACTGCCAAACTATGTATAAGTATAGGTTATGAAAACCCTTTCCGAATGTTAATTGTTTTGCATCCCTCCCCACATCATCAGCCTTTTGCTCAGTCCATCTAATGGCAGAGTTCATCCCTAATTAGGTGGGTTAAACCAAATCTGGATCTCAGATTGCTCACACTGTAACCTGCTCATTCTTAGCATGAAGGTACTGAAATATTATTACAACTATCACATCTTGCAGTGCAAACTTCCTCAAAGTTCCATGCTTGAAGTATCAGATACAAGCTTATTGACAAGAACCAGCAGATTGTAAAACATAAAAATAAACTGCAGTGTGATCCAGTCCGTTTCCCATGGTTTCACAAAGCACAATATTGTTACTCCAAACAAATCAAGGTACAGTATTTTTCAGAGAATAGCAGTGCTCGATTATATTTATAGGCCATATTATAAAGTGGTAAGATTGTGTTCACATCAAGTAATGGAACAGGTAATGGTTCTATATAGGATTTATGGCGGAGAACAATCAGATGTACGATAAATGATCATTCACCCATTTTTTAACCACTTACTTCAGTTGAGGGGTGTGGTGGTAAATTACACAACTTTAAATAACTGTCCCCAATGTAATGTAACACAACTGTATGTTATGTTTTGCTACATACCTTTGATTAGGGAAAGATTAACACCTGCCATTCTTTCAGCAACACAGAAAAGTGCTGGACAAAGGGAAACCGGAGGATATAATGCCATCCATAAAAGGAGCAAAGGTAAGTTGAAAAGATTTGGAGTGCATCGTGAGCTATGTAAACTCCATATCTATAGTAAAATTGTTTTGGCTTTTTTTGTATGTTTGTAAGGGAGAAGTTTACTGATTTTAAAATATCTATCTCAGTACTAGAGCTGGTTTTCAGCTTCATTTTAATTTAATTGAAATGTAATTTTAATTTAAGGAGATTTCTCGCTCTGGAAAGTAGATATACAGAATAAAGGCATGTTAGATTTGATGTTTTGTGTAAGGATTATTTTTGTACTTTGCAAAAGAGCAATAGATCAGCACTCTTTATATCAGATGTTTAGAAGTGTTACAGAAAACTGGCTCTTATTCTGTTCCGTGGTGAGAGAAGCTGCATTAGTGTTGCAGTTACTTTACATTCATAATTGATGAACAGCTGCTGATTCCTGGTCTGTTCCACAGGAGCGCTTGCCAACAGTGCCTTTATCTGGAATGTACAACAAATCAGGTGGAAAAGTGAGGCTCACGTTTAAACTTGAACAAGACCAGCTCTGGATTGGAACCAAGGGTGAGAACATCTTGTATGGCTGAGCTTCATTGCCCAGCAAGAGTCCTCAGTTTTACCTTGAAAATACTTTTTTTTGTAATATTAGAATGATCATCAGACAAACTTATAAAGGCATAAATTCTGTTTTCTGCCAAGTGCATCTTAAAAGAGCGTTGATTACTTTCCTTGAGCTGGATTTGAAAGTAACGTAAGATGACATCCTGTTTGTATCTTACTGGAATGGCATTCTTTTGAGCACTTGTGGTAACAGGTAAAATGATCTAAAATGCAGTTTTTTTAATGTTGGAGGCTGGGCAAGCTTTAGTGGTAGTTTGCAGAAATAACTAATACGGTGCCTTGCGAAAGTATTCGGCCCCCTTGAACTTTTCAACCTTTTGCCACATTTCAGGCTTCAAACATAAAGATATAAATTTTTTATTTTATGTGAAGAATCACCAACAAGTGGGACACAATTGTGAAGTGGAACGAAATCTATTGGATTTTTGAAACTTTTTTAACTAATAAAAAAATGAAAAGTGGGGCGTGCAAAATTATTCGGCCCCCTTGCGTTAATACTTTGTAGAGCCACCTTTTGCTGCGATTACAGCTGCAAGTCGCTTGGGGTATGTCTCTATCAGTTTTGCACATCGAGAGACTGAAATTCTTGCCCATTCTTCCTTGCAAAACAGCTCGAGCTCAGTGAGGTTGGATGGAGAGCGTTTGTGAACAGCAGTTTTCAGCTCTTTCCACAGATTCTCGATTGGATTCAGGTCTGGACTTTGACTTGGCCATTCAAACACCTGGATACGTTTATTTGTGAACCATTCCTTTGTAGATTTTGCTGTATGTTTGGGATCATTGTCTTGTTGGAAGATAAATCTCCGTCCCAGTTTCAGGTCTTTTGCAGACTCCAACAGGTTTTCATCCAGAATGGTCCTGTATTTGGCTGCATCCATCTTCCCCTCAATTTTAACCATCTTCCCTGTCCCTGCTGAAGAAAAGCAGGCCCAAACCATGATGCTGCCACCACCATGTTTGACAGTGGGGATGGTGTGTTGAGGGTGATGAGCTGTGTTGCTTTTACGCCAAACATATCGTTTTGCATTGTGGCCAAAATGTTCGATTTTGGTTTCATCTGACCAGAGCACCTTCTTCCACATGTTTGGGGTGTCTCCCAGGTGGCTTGTGGCAAACTTTAGACGAGACTTTTTATGGATATCTTTGAGAAATGGCTTTCTTCTTGCCACTCTTCCATAAAGGCCAGATTTGTGCAGTGTAAGACTGATTGTTGTCCTATTGACAGACTCTCCCACCTCAGCTGTAGTTCTCTGCAGTTCATCCAGAGTGATCATGGGCCTCTTGGCTGCATCTCTGATCAGTCTTCTCCTTGTCTGAGCTGAAAGTTTAGAGGGACGGCCAGGTCTTGGTAGATTTGCAGTGGTCTGATACTCCTTCCATTTCAAGATGATCGCTTGCACAGTGCTCCTTGGGATGTTTGAAGCTTGGGAAATCTTTTTGTATCCAAATCCGGCTTTAAACTTCTCCACAACAGTATTACGGACCTGCCTGGTGTGTTCCTTGGTCTTCATGATGCTCTCTGCGCTTTCAACAGAACCTTGAGACTATCACAGAGCAGGTGCATTTATACAGAGACTTGATTACACACAGGTGGATTCTATTTATCACCATCAGTCATTTAGGACAACATTGGATCATTCAGAGATCCTCGCTGAACTTCTGGAGTGAGTTTGCTGCACTGAAAGTAAAGGGGCCGAATAATTTTGCACGCCCCACTTTTCATTTTTTTATTAGTTAAAAAAGTTTCAAAAATCCAATAGATTTCGTTCCACTTCACAATTGTGTTCCACTTGTTGGTGATTCTTCACATAAAATAAAAAAATTATATCTTTATGTTTGAAGCCTGAAATGTGGCAAAAGGTTGAAAAGTTCAAGGGGGCCGAATACTTTCGCAAGGCACTGTATTGTTTCTTCTGAATTTCAGCAGTGTTGTTTTTATGGTATTTTCAAACATTAGAGATAATACATCAAATCTGCTTCAGATGTACTGCTGCTACAAACAGGCAACTGAGTTAGTGTTCCCTGTTTGTGATGCAGTGGTTTTGGTGAGGTAGTGGACTGCAGGTGATTTTCTTGTCTTTGATATTTTTAAGTTGATGTATAATAATATCTAAATTTTAAATGTTGCTGCTGTAGGCTTTTCTGTTGCAAGTGTAGTGCAAGAGGGTTTAAATCCAATGTTAATATGTTCTTGTGGGGAACTCGCAACAAATATAAATACCTTCTGAATAATGTCTGAGATTTACTGTGTGATTTAGAGTTGAAGCATGTTGGAAGGCTTACAGATGAGAGTTCATTTTTCTTCTTTCTGTCATTATGTGATTAGTCATTTATTGACCCAGAAATTCAATCCACACACCTCTTGAAAAATTTCAAAGAATCCAATTCTTCACCAAAAGCCCCTTTCTGTTAAGAAATACCCCTTATTTTAATTTCTAAATGCAGTTCTTCCTAATTTCTAATGCCTTTTCTGTATCATTGTCCAGCTGATTCTGAAGTAGACTTCTGGAGTGATTTAATACTTCAAATATTTGATTTAATTAAGATCCTTTGTCATCTCCTTTGTGTGAGACTAATATGGGACTGCTTTGTGAATTGCATGCATAACATGACCTGGAATATTACAGGCTTTGTAAACTACTTTTAATTTTCCCACAGAGAGAACAGAGAAGATCCCAATGGGCTCAATCAAGAATGTGATTACTGAACCTATTGAAGGGCATGAAGACTATCACATGATGGTAAGTGTTTTATTTTGTTGACCTATCACTTTTGTTGACTAAAACCTAAAGTTCTGAAATTGATTTTATCACTCAGTTTTAAATCCAGAGAGCCTTTTTATTTTTTATATTGTATTTCTCATTTAAATGAGTACAGTAGGCTCAATGAAATTAAGCACATTAAGAGCAAAGGAAAGCCCCATAAAACAGATGGGTCACTTGAGGAATGTGTCAAGGTGTCAGTTTAAATCTACAGTGTTCCATTGACTGTGTCCATGTACTTGCTCATATTAATTTCGCTTGTTTTGGTGTGCTTTTGGTAACTGGGATTGTAGGGGCTTGAATTGCTTAGTGATTTGCTGCTTCCCTTCTTATCATACTGCTGTGCGAACGGGTAGCAATTCTAAATTGGTGAGATAATAAGAAAAGTAATTGTTTACAACCTTTAAAAAAAAAAGTTTAACCATTGACAATTGTTCATAAAGTCTCCCTTTCAGCCAGTAAATCAACATTGTTTGTGATTCTGTAATTGAAATCCTACAACTCCCAAAGCTTTTTATTCAAGCATATTAACTCTGGATTAGCTGATAAGCATGATGTAAGTAATGGAACTATTCTTGGGTGCTTTTCCAAGAGAAATTTAGTGTCATAAGGATAGGAAGTGCTTAAACAATACCATATGTTGCATCTGTGATTTCGAATTAAGGAAAACCACAATACTACTGTATCTCCAGCAGCCATGTCACCCTGCAACTCACAACTGGCAACCCACTGAAGCTAAGCAGGTGTGAGCCTGGTCAGTACCTGGATGGAAGACCTCCTCTTCCAGCAGCAACCTTAGTTTTTCCCAGGAGTTGGTGGGGCCAGCTGGGGGAGCTCACCCTGCAGTCTATTTTGGTCCTAATGCCTCAGTATAGTGATGGGGACACTATACTATAAAAAGGTGCCGTCCTTCGGATGAGACATAAAACCGAGGTCCTGACTCTGTGGTCATTAAAAATCCCAGGGTGTTTCTCGAAAAGAGTAGGGGTGTTTCCCATTGGCCCTTACCTATCATGGCCTCCTAATAATCCCCATTGTGATGTGTGGTGAGCTTTCTGGCACACTATGGCTGCTGTCGCATCATCCAGGTGGATGCTGCACATTGGTAGTGGTGGAGGGGAGTCCCCATTACCTGTAAAGCGCTTTGAGTGGAGTATGCAGAAAAAAAAGCGCTATATAAGTGTAAGCAATTATTATGATTATTATTAATTATTTCAGTGTAGTTTAAGTTGTGGGTCCATCAGTGATTGAATTCCAAGGACCCGAAAATAGATACAATTTTTCTGAAGAACTTTTACACTAAACTTTCAAGGTACCGAGAGAGTAGCTACTGTCACCTCTCAAACATATATTACTATTACAGAGAGAGTACAAAACATAAGGGACGTCATCCTAATATTGTGTTGTACCCCCTTTTGCCCTCAGTCTCAATTTGTTGGGGCATTGACTCAAAAGGTGTCGAAAGTATTCCACAAGGTTCCACCAAGACTTCCACAGTGGTGTTGAGTTGGCTGGTAGTGGATCTCTACTCTGAATAGCTTGTTCCATCCTGTCCCTCAGATGTTCAGTTGGTTTGCGATCTGGTGACTGGGCAGGCCATTGCATGTTCATAGAACAATCTTTGCGTTAGTGCACAGGACATTATCCTGCTGAAACAATCCATTCGCAGATGGATACACTGCTGCCATGAAGGGATGCACCTGATTGGCAATGATATTCAGATATCCTGTGCATCATCAGACCGTCTGCTGATATGCTCATCAAATGAGCTGTTTTCCACCACTGACCTGCCATTGGCTGGATTTTGGGTGGTGGGCCATTCCAGATACACACAGGACACTGTTTAGCGTAGAAAAACCCAGCAGCAGTGCAGTTATTGACACACTCAAAGCAGTGCACCTGGTACCTACTATCATATTTTTTTCAAAGACACTTAAATATTTCTTTCTTGTCCATTCTCCCTCACATGTGCAATCCATGTCTCAGTTGTCTCAAGAAAGAAAAGAAAAATCCTTCTTTAGCCTGTCTTCTCCCCCTCATCTACACTGTTTAAGTGGATTTAATAGTTTAATTCAATTAGAGATTATATATTTAACCCTTTCAGTCTAATTTGTTTTAAGAATACATTTTTATTAAAATTAATTGCTGCCAATAATTACCAGTACTATTTCTGAAATAGTTAAAGGTTTTAATAAAAAAAAGTACTGCAGACATGGTTTTGTCACAAGCTGTGGAACAATAAGATATTACAACCATAAGACATGTCGCAGTCACAGAAATTTCAAGGTACCTAAACTTATATACTGAGGTCTAATGGTATATAAGCCTATGTGGTAACCCTGCACAAACCAATACAATTACACGAAAAGGCTCCATTCCTTGGATGAAACAGAAAACTGAGGTCCTGACTCTCTTTAAACCCTTGCAAGAGTCCTGGGTACATTTCCCCCTGGCCTTTACCAATCAGCACTCCCCCACAGGCAGACATCAAATTTCACTTAATGCTGATGATCGTATATTGCTTTTTTCTGATATTTCAAGTTAAATTCTTAAGTCTTAAACCTGTTTGAGAACTAGACTGTCTGTTAAATAAATTGGGTTTTAAAGTTGTCCTTACTTTTGAACAAATTTGTAAAGAGAATGTGAATGCTGGGAGTCCTGAATTAATTTAAAGCTTTTCTGACAAAATGGTTTTCTTTACAAATTATATACTTATGGTAGAATAATCATTAAAAAATAAATATACTTGGTCATATTAATTTTTAATTTTCTGCATTCCTCTAAAAATGTGCACACAAGGTAATCAATTTTAAACTGGCACCACAAATATACACAACACCATGCCAACAGCTCTCTTCCCTCTCTGATTTACCTGATTTCAGAGTATACCCGATAACTCCTTAGACATGTTTGTGGCATGTGATTTTTTTTTTTAGACTGACTAGTAGGACTTTGTCACGAATTATTTTCATGTTAATGTCAATCTTTATGCATTGTGTTGTTTCTAAGTAACTACAGCCAAAAACATGTTTTTTTACAGAGTTGGTTGAAGACTGATACCTTTAAATCACATTAAATCTCATTTATGTGCAGAATATTTTCTGGTGGAAAGAAGTACAACTAAATTACATTTTGCTTGTGCAAAACTTGTTTGCTGTAGTCCGATGTCTTTTTTTGTATATAGAGTAGGGTCTCGAAATCTGCAAATTTAACAATAGCAAATTAGCTTTTTTCTGATTCAGTCTGACTGAGGGGGTCTTGTATAGAACAAGAGCAGAGCAGGATGAAAGCAAGCTGGAGATTGTTAACTGCAGCTTTCAAATAACTGTTTAGGATTGTGAGACGAATCTAACTAATGAGTGACCCTCTCCCTGCTTCCTGCTCAAGTACCCACTACCCAGCATCCAGCATTGCTTTTATATTGTAACAAAAACTCCAGATTTTGTGTTGGCGTTGAGGGAACTGACAGGCTGGAGATGACTTTACAGTCTCTCTGACAGTTTTGTAGTATGTCTCATTACAGTGGGGTGTGCTAATCATGGAGGCGGAGAAATCAAGTGCACAGAGGAGGGATTCAGGTTATTTATTTTAATTGATTTAAAAAATAAATATTTTAGAGAACAAAACAAAACCATTTTACATATAAACCATCATTATTCAGCCTTACTTTTACAGTACACATTCGACTATACATCACAAGCACAAATTGTCTATTCCTGTTTGTTCCCCTAGTATTTTACAATGATATCACTTTTAACAATACTATATACATTCAAAATGAGGAAGATGTATACATTTCTGAATATGAAAAGGGAGGAGACTACAGTATATAAATGTACCTTATTAACATTCAGTTATTTTGTATCTCAACAAACTCTGACCTTAAAGGTTTAATGTACTGAACCCATCTAGACCAATATTTGACACATTTTTTCATTTGTAATTTTAGTGAAAATGTTATTTTTTCCATTATATATATTTCCTTTATTAATTCAATCCAATCATTCATTGTTGGTAAATCTGGGAGAAGCCACTTTCTTGTTATAACTTTCTTCCATACTGATAAGGATTCCAAACAAATATTTGTCAGTTCCCCTCCAATCAAAATCCAGTTTGCCAAAATATAAAGCGTCAACTGTAAAGGGTACATTCCTTTCAAATACAGTTTCCAGGGCCTCATGTAACCCCTTCCAGAAAAGCCTCATTTTAGGGCAGTTCCCGAATATATACCAATGATCACTTTGGTTTCCGCACTGTCTCCAGCATTGAAAGTCCCCAGTATGGTGTGCCTTCTGACTCAGAATAATGAAAAATCAAACAATGTTTTTCCAGCAAAACTCTCCATAAATCTCTATTGAATTTCACAAATTTTAAGCCACTCTTCATTCGATATTCCAACTTCACTTTCTTTCACCTATTTATTTTTTATATACTCTGTAGAATATAATTTCTGTTCCATAAAAACATTATATAATCTAGATATAATACCTTTACTTAATTCTGATTTGTTGGCATCTGTAACTACTTTCACTACCCCATCATTAACAATATCTAAATCTCCCCTTATAATCTCCCCTTTAAAATAGTGGTGCATTTGAAGACTGATTCATATCCATTATTAGCAGCCATATCACCCTGCAATTCACAACTGGCAGCCCACTGAAGCTCAGCAGGTGTGAGCCTGGTCAGTACCTGGATAGGAGTCCTCCTGGGAAAAACTAAGGTTGCTGCTGGAAGAGGTGTTAGTGGGGCCAGCAGGGGGCACTCACCCTGTGGTCTATGTGGGTCCTAATGCCCCAGTACAGTGATGGGGACACAATACTGTAAACAGGCGCCGTCCTTCGGATGGACGTAAAACCGAGGTCCTGACTCTCTGTGGTCATTAAAAATGCCAGGGTGTTTCTCGAAAAGAGTAGGGGTGTTACCCTGGTGTCCTGGCCAATTGCATTGGCCTTTCCCAATCATGGCCTCCTAATAAT